TGTCAGTGTTAAACAAATTGTAGAGAAAACAAAGAAAATGACTAAATATGAGCATCACACTTCAATACAATATAAGATCTTTTCACAGAGAAAACTACAGATAAAATAAATAAATTGTTTCATTTTTGTTTTCACAAAAAAACTTTGTTAAATATCTAAATATTGACAAAAAAAAATAAAACAAATTGTTTAATTTTTACTCTCAGAAAAAAATATCTTAATGATCGTTATTAACGATTTGTTAAAAGTTACAAATAGAGCTGGACCTTTTACCTTAATTTAATATTTTAAACTAAATGATTCATCTCTAATTACAAGGACAATAAAAAGTAAACATACAAAATCTTTAATAGAAATAGATCGATCAGCAAATTAGACACAAAATTCACAGTATTGTATAATTCAAAACTATCATATAATGGGTGTGACTGTTGTGCATATGTGTTACTCACACTCTGTACCCTTCGCGTGGTTCTTGAATATGTATTTAAGTCAATCACTGTAATATCTTCTTTTCAATTCTTCTTTTTTATTGTTTCCATTTATCTTATCTGGTGGATGTGTTGTAGCATAAACTGTGAAAACAAATTTGTTAATCCTTTCAGAAACGATAAAATAAGTATTAAAAAAAGTTATATTGCATGGAGAATCGTGGCATAATTATCAGATGCATTTAAACTTAAGTTACTTTGTAGTGATAGTTTAGTTTTTTCATGATTATAAATTAAATGCATTCCAGCGTATTTCTCATTCAACGCCTTTGTTAATAGAATGTGGCTTCAAATATTTTTTCTAATGTTAATTGGTAGCGTGTTCAGTGCGTATTTAATGCATACAAAATCTTTATTAGATTTAACATATACACGTAGTGAACTTACTGGCAAGTAAATTTATTTGAAATCAGAACACAATTATAATCACCATCCATTCATAGAATCAATGAGTAATACAACATCGTCACCAGCTAATCAATATGATTTAGTTCAAGCAGCTAAGCAACCTATTATTTACAGTTATTCTGTTACAATGACATTTATAGTAATCACAAGTATATTAAATGTTAGTGTGCTCTGTCGTCGAGTTCTTCGATCATCTTCGTGTACTTATTATTTTCTTGCTTCTGTTCCAACTGTTTTAGCGTACGTGGTTGTTTCACCTGTAAATGCAGTACTTGTACAAACTTATGGATTCTATATGAGTGGTACACCTGTTGCATGCAAAATAGTTTCATTTCTAAGCTATGCAACATCATTATGGTATGGATTAATGCTAGTATGTGCTTCAATTGATCGATATTTTTCAAGTTCGACATCAGTTCGTTTACGTCGTCTCAGTCAAGTGCGTGTTGCACAAAGAATTATTATTATTGTATGGATCTTATCGTCGATATATATGAGTCCATTTCTGTTTATATATTATTATGATCCTAACTATGCCAACAGTAAAAAGTGCACACAATATTCGTCAACATTGATAGCTGTTTATCTGATGACTCGAGTTATTTTTTATTATTTTTTGATACCAATTATTTTAGGCATATTTGGTGTATTAACAATTTATAATATTCGAAGTCAAAAACATCGTGTAGCACCAATGAATCAAGCAAGTTTGTCACGCCGTACAGAAGGTCAATTGGCTCGTATGTTAATCATTCAAGTAGCTATGTATCTTCTCTTCTTTACACCATCTGGTGTAACATATATATTAGTGACATTTGTACCATCAATGAATACCTCTTATTATCAAACAATTCGAAGTCTGACAAATGTTTGGCAACAAGGTGGTTATTTCATTTCATTTTTTCTTTATGTTCTTACCGGCAAAATCTATCGGGAAGAACTGAAGAATATGTTTAAATGCAATCGAATTCATCATCGAATATTACAACAAACTGCGGCAGATATACCGATGAATTTATTAGCAAATGTTCCAGTTAATACTCGTATCTGAATTCACCACAATCTAAATTTGAACTGACAGTACATATAATTATTGTTCTTTTGACCCTTTATTATTTTATTTATAGATGTTGTCTGTTCGTGTAGAATATATAGTTTAAATCCAATCGTGCGGAATGAATGGTGGTAAAAATGATTATTATAATTATATGAAATAAAACTCAGTCAAACGCTAAAGCTGAAGCATACATGCCTTGGTGAAAAGATATAAGATAATTGTGTTTTATTCATAAAATATTTTGTTAGGTGTTGCAAAAGATGTATAGGCACGGAAGTTACTTTAAATATTTGTAATTCATAAGAATAAAGGGTGGGTGGGTGTGGATGTAATATAGATAACAATTTTATTTTCTAATTAAAATAAAACATAACATGAATTTCAATAAATGAAAGAAAAAGTTAATCATAATATTGATCAATCCAAATAGATAATTTCATTAAATTAGAACGAAGATCTTTGATACGAATCCTGTAGTTAAGATCCCGAAATGCTTCTTCAACTAAACCATAAAAAAGGTTTCGATCAGAAATACGTCGTAGATCAACATGAACCGTAGATAATTTTGATAATCGTTTTTAGAGAAAAATAATATAATTCGGTGCTTTAATTGAACATCAGAGTTGTTGAATGTTGGAGAATACTGCACAAAATGTGATTAGTTGATTCAAATCTTCAAATAATTTTATTCATGTAGAAACATAATTCTTTATCATTAAATAACAATTCTCTTAATATTTTAATTAATTCTTCTGATAAACTACCCGTTTTGATATAATGAAATATCCATATGTTTTATAATTGATAGATTAATAATTGATTTTAAAGATCGAAGATATTTTGTTTCCTTTATTTGTTGTATTTTTAATGAAATGACATTTGGGAAATAAAATAAAGAATAATCCTTTGTTTTATCATAAATAAATGTTAAATTCTCTACTTGTTTAAAAATATTTGATATATTCATTGATCGATAAACTGATCTTTTTGTATTTTCTTCTAATTCAAACGATTCTGATATGAGGTACGATATAAATGCAGACTGAAGTTTTATTTATTAATAATTCTGTATACCAATGGTGTTGTTCAAGCCAAAAACTATTTTAAAATCGATTATAATTGTATAAAATCATGTCATGATGACATAGACGAGAACAAATCAATTTGAGTCTGAAAGTATTCAGATTAAATAAAGAAGAATTTATTAAATTTTCCCATTCATTTGGATTAATGAATTTTTGATCATCGATCGTATTTGTAAAAGTTAAACTTCGTAAATTTGGTGTTTGTTTAACCAAATCCACAAAATCATCGAATGGATATCGAAATTGATCAATTATCAATTGTTTTAAATGAATAGTTCGATGATTTTTATCATTTTTCATTAATTGTTTATCTCTTGTAATAGTTTTAATGTTCAAATATTTGAACATAGGAATAATTTCTAATAATTGATATCTTATCTGTTCCAATGAACATTTTGAAATGATTAAATGTGTAATTATTGTTGATTGTCGAACGTATATTAAAAAAGATTCTCATGTTTTAATTGATAATTTTTGTAAATGATCTAATGGCAATACAGATACTATTAGTTCATCATCAATTTGTGAAGAATTTAAATCTAATGATTGAAGATGAGAATAATCAGCAAGTAAATAAAATGAGAAAAAAAATGCATTAGTTTGATCACATGCATCTTTATTTGATAAATGTAATGAAGATATATTTTGTTTAATTTCTGGTAAGATTTCACAACAAAATCGAGAGAATTTTGTTTCATGAATGTTTTGAAGATTTAAATATATTGGAGTATTTCGAATAAGATGAGAAAAATGAGAATTTAATGTATCAGATGAATAAAAGATTTCTACTTGATAATAAAATTATCTCTTTGTATTATTTATTACATAATATTTCAATTTTAATATCTAAAAATTATTTACTGATATTCATAGATAGTACAACTATTTATTTTCTTATCTCAATTTCATAATATTCATCTATCATGTGAATATCATTCTATTTTTGTTTTTCAATCATCGATCATGTTGATTATTATACAATGACATTTCGATTAATCTAAATAATTTTGATTAAAGGTTTGGGTCTGAATACATATAACTATCAAAATCCACATCCACACCCTTCATAATCATTTCAATATTAACAAGATCAACATATCATTTTATTCAACTACAACAAACAACCATCATACTTTTCTTTGTTAAATTTATATTCACAACGACGGAATGAATGTTCACTTGATTTTGTTTTGAAAGAGATTATCAAAACACCTATTCATTAGTTATCTGAGATCAGAACTGACCAATTTTATTCTTTATGTCGTTTTTAACTTCTTTTAGATCTTCTCCTTGCCCAACACGGTGAGACATTTCACAAAGAGTGCAATAGAAAGTATTACTATCAAGTCTTGCATAATAGTCAAGTATTTTCTGGAATTTGTCCGAGACAGGTTCCTTTCGCCATTGATGATAACTTTCGTATAATGTTTTATTTTTTGCAACACTTCTTATAAACATAGCTGCATCTTTTGGTGTTTTGAATTTTCTTAGATCAATCATACAATCTGCTCGACATGGTAACCAATCATAAACATTTGGCGCACCAAGATAAATAGGTATACTTCCAGCTGCTAACGGTTGCCACAGTTTTTCTGATATATAATCATAAGTTAGACTATTCTCAATCGAGATAGTGAATAAATAATCTCTCGATAATGCTAGTTTCCCACCCTCCCAGTTATAAGTAGCAATTTGTTTCAAAGTTCGATTTCTAGAGCCTTGAATTTGTACGATGTGCTCTGGTAATTGGCGAATCTTCTCTCCACAAGTGCCGTAGTTATCGACATCAATATATTTCATTAATTCCTTCATGTATTGAGTACGCCGTGATTTAGCTTTACAATTACTGTTCATCCACATAATTGGTGCTTTGATATATGATGTGTTCATCGTTTCGTTGGTTGTGATGGAGTTCTAATAAATTAAAAGTATTAATATTATATCGAATTTTTTTCCGAATATCAGAAGACTTTTAACTGAACTATTTGCATTTTCTACATGTCTCTTTCTCTTAAAAAAAGAAAGCAATACTAGTACTAACTCATTTGTCATTTCATATTGTTTCTCAAAAATTCACATACCATTGATAGATTAGTCCAATAAACATCTGACATGGTAATAGAATGAATCGGTTTTTTACTGCTTATTGTGTCTTGAAATGATAATCTTTGTGAAGTAAATTTCAGTTTTTCGACATAGAAGAGAAGGTGAGGAGGTGGAGGAAAATCATAAATTGATCGATCATACCCAAACGTTACGTCAAACAATTTTAATTTATCACGCTCAGCTATCCACGGATAATAAATAATAGATTCATAATTGAATAAGAATCCCCACATACTAGTACAACTTCGATATTGATTATTTAAGACACGTATGTATGTATAGCTTGACAATGGCAAGTAAGGATCAGCAATGAGTGATGGATATGAATATTTTTGAGACTTACTAATAAACAAATCCAATGAAAAGCCACGTTTACATTCGAAATGTGACTGATTTTGTCTGGGCAGGTTATCGTTCATTCTTACAATTTGTCGACTATGACTACATTTAACATCTTCTAATGTTGCAGGTGATGAGTATATCAGATGACAGGGTAAACGGGAACAATTACTCATTCTATACAATTCACATATCGCTCTAGTTAGGAATTGTAATTCAACTGGTATGTCACACCATAATGTCTCATTCTTCTTTGATGACTTAAGTTCTTGTTCAACAAATAGATGCCATATATACATATCAAAGATATATTTTGTTGTTTGGTTATCTTCACGTTTCGTCGACTGACAAAAATCGGTTTTTTGTCTAATAAAATTAGACCAAACAAAGTATGTCGATACGATTAAAAGTATCACACTGATGAGACACATGGTACTGAGAAACAATTTTCTAGATTTTCTTTTAGAACATATCATACTTATATATCGGATGATCTAAAAAACTGAGAAAATAAACGGAAATAACTCAGTAAAAATTTACTGACCTAGTACGCATTCATTTTTTATGAGTTTATAAAAAACATTGTCACACAGTGCAGTATGAAAAAATTAGTAGATCGAGTGAATTAATTACTTAGAAAAGCTTATAGATTGGTATTTAGTCTTGGATGGTGTGAATGTGGATATATTATACCCATTCCTAATTTCTGATTTTTCTCTAAGATATCTTTACATATAGATAAATATCTCAAAAACTAGGAATTTACTTTCTATATATTGTTGAAAATTATCATAGAAGTAATTACAATAAATACATATGTATACTCTACCATCTCATAAGAAGTGCAGAAAATAAGAAATCGGAAATGTACTTTCTATATACAGTATGATTGAAAATTATCACGAAAATAATTTCAACAAGTTTCATATTCATGCTTCATTATATCAAATGAAGAGCAGAAAACAAGAAACAAGAAATTTAGTTTCTATATATGGTTAAAAATTATCATGGAAATTATTTCAGCAAGTACGTATTCATGCTTCACTATATAAATAAAAAAAGCAGAAAACAAGAAATCAGAAATGCAGTTGGTACATATCGATGGAGATGAATTTGTAAGTTCATGGTAATGAAAATAATCAAAGAAGAGAAAAAACAAATTGCTGGTTTTGAATAGTGATTGGCATATGTTTTTTTAACATAATATGATTTGAGTTTTGAGAACGTGATTAGCATTTTCGAGATAAAGTATCTGACAAGATTCAGGTATGGTGCAGCTAATGTACGTAGAATGCATTTTTTTGTTACTTAAAACTACTAGCAACTATGGTATAAGCAAATTAACTCTTTAAATATATCGATCTTTGCATGGTTTTTGACTATGCGTAACAGATTCGAAAATTTTTTAACTATTGTCTTTTCCGAACATCATCTGAAAATAGAAATATTGGTAATGCAAAACATGAAATTGAATGCGTAGCTTTTGAATGATCAAATGAAGAAAACGAGAAACGTTTTAGGCTTTTTTGTGCTCGTTTCTGAATAAATCTATACTTATACTTGGAGAAGAAACCAGTTTAAAGATTTATCATACATCTCTGTAATAGAGCATACAGCAGATTTGATTCTACTCTCGACTATAACTATCTGCAAATATCTTATTAACAATTTTTCATTTGATTAATTCTGTTGAAGAAAACGGTGTGATGGTAGATTTCTGCTTTCTTGATTAATGAAATGAAGACATTTATAAACCTCTGATTCTTTCTTCTCTGTTTATCTTTTAATATTGTTGAATATGAATATATATTCACTGAAATTATTTCTATAGTAATTTTCAGTCATATATAGAAACTAAATCTCTGATTTCTTATTTTCTCATTAATTACAATGAAGGTATTTATGAAGTGTTCCAAAATTGCATGAAAACTTAAACAAAAACAAATTTTAGTAGCTCTATTATTCATCAAGGCTAAGAAGTACACATCAAAAGCTGGTGAATAAAATTTGAGCTTGAGCGATTGTTAACAACTCATGTATAACTTTAATATGTTAGTAACTATGTAATAAAACGGTTAACAATACAAAAAAACTCATTCTTCTATATAACCAATGTTAAAGGGCAAAAGAAATGTGTAATAAAACTTTCGCAATATATATTTCTGTTGTTTACAATTACACTAGTAAAATTCAAAAATATTAATGGTTAATAAGAGAAATGAAAATAACGATATTAATTAATTGATACGGTATATTACTTCCATAAATATTTTTATTAGTTGATGATTGCAATTATTCTGTTCGTTTGATGTACAAAGATAGGCATGTGTTATAGTTATGAATCTACCTTTTATATATCAGTAATCTTTGGATGACAATCAAGTCCACCAGTTCTCATGTCTAAAGCGATTTGCTAGTTGAGCATCATTCCTCGAAAGCTGATTTAAATTCTAATATTACATCTGATCGTCTTTTCTCCTTGTCAAATTAATGATAGTTAACACAAACATCCGATTTATTTTCAGATTCACACATCATATTATGCAAAATTCTAATTTAAAATGAAGTTTTTATATCGATGTAACTGTCTATCGAAAAAATACAATACAACTTTATTACTTTCTGTTATTATGATAATAATCATTATTTTTATCAATTTTTACCTTATGAAAATAAAAGTTGTACCATCAATTGATGTTATTATTCCAAAAAATCAAAATATTTCATGGGAACAAAACACTAAATTGAAACAAAATATTTCATCAGAACAAAAAATTGCATGTATCGTTTATATAAAAGATAGAGCTGGTCGTTTTGGTAATCGAATGTTTCTGGTTGCAAGTGCTTATGGTCTTGCCCGCCTTCATTCTTGTCATTTATATATAGAACTAAAAATTATCAATGAATTGAAATCAGTATTTATTCTGGATCTGTCTCCATTACTTATCTCGTCATCGACATTCAAGTCTCTTACTCGTAACCGTTCAAAACCAATGAGTAGAATTAGTAAGGATGTTGTTTGTGATTATATTACAACATTAACCCGTCCAAATGCAATTCCACCAGGAACGATATTTGAACTTGAAGGTCATTGGCAATCATATTCACATTTTGCTAAATATTATGAAGAAATTCGTCAACGTATTTTTGTTCCTTCACAATCAATACTTAAGAAAGTTTCGAATTTTTTCATTGAGTTTTATCAACGACAACTAGGTTATAGACCTCAATTTGTATTAGACAATCATCAAACATTCAAAAAACAACTATCTCAATTTAATTCGACTACATGGATTGGAATTCATGTACGTCGTTCAGATTTTATACCAATAAATTATTCTTCGAATGATGCTTATTTATTTGATGCTATTAAATATTATAGTGCTCGCTATCCAGATGCTCATTTTATAGTTGCTAGTGATGATAAAGTTTATTGTAAGAAGCTCTTTGGTGATCGATCAAATATTTTTCTTACACCTCGCAGTTTTTCGTTTGGTGATGATTTAGTAATTCTTTCACTTTGTCAACATTCGATTATAACTGGTGGAACATTTGGATGGTGGATAGGTTATCTTGCTGGTGGAGAAGTCATTCATGATAAAGCTTATCCATCTGGATGTTCAAGACGTGAATATTATTATCCACCATGGTTTTTAATAGATGGAAATGTACGTGCACATAGAACTTCTGAATATATTTTATGATAAAATAATGGAATTCTCGAATTTCGTCAATAAGATTATCGCCAGCTGCAAGGAAAATCGATAAACTGTGCCTCTCTGTCTCGGAAACATGTGAATGTGTAACACCAATGAAGACAAATGTGCTGAAATCTATTTAGTTGCTTTATAAATATTAATGTAATTAACGGAGATTTTTATTTATGTATAGAGCATACTGTTCTCGAAAGCAACAATCTCATCATATGTTTTCCAAAGTCTTAACTTTAGTTTGTTTTCAAACGTTTTTTTAAGTTTTAACCAAAATATCTAGTCTTTGTTTGCATTTCGAAGTTCCTGTTATAGACCGTTCTTGTCTTTAAACTCTCTGACCATAATTGACACGAACCCTAAGAATGGTCATTAAATTTTAAGTCTATACTGTTTATTGCAATATGCTTTTTTAGAGACTAGTGAACGCAAGCAACACACTCGCCTATTGGCGAATATGTGATGTTCATATTAAAATTTTATTTTATTCTATTAAATTATTTACAAACTTTATTATTGTAAAACAAAGGAATCAATAAATTCCCATTAAAGAAGCTATTGGGAAGTGAGACGATCAATACATACTGATAAGGTCTATCAAAAGTCTCAAAGTCCTTTTTTCATTTGAAGATACATCTATTCTTTGTGAAAATAATTATTGTGCTTGATTTTATTTTCCTGTTGTATTGTCAAATTCGAAACTAAAACTGAAGTATATAAGAAGTTTATACGAGATACGTTTATTGGACTTGACTTGCTCATATGTGGCTCTTCAAGAGGCTAACGAGACGAATATTTAAAAATATTATTCCAAACGAATGAGGTTTAATAGAGATGTTGGCGAAACATAGAGAGACTTATTATTTCTGGCAGATCCGTTATGATCGGATAAGTTTTCTTATGAAAAATAGCCGATAGATATATTCATAATTTAAAGTGAAATATTAACATAATTCACAGACATCGTTTTATTCTATTAATATTTTTTTTTACAAAGAAAAATCTATTGATTAGTTATTATTTTTAAGTGCAAATATAAGTAAATGAATAGGCATGCTCAATCGAACACTTTGTCGAGCAACACTATTCGATGATTTATCTAATAACAATAATCCACAAGCTGATAATTGACCACAAATACGTCTAACATCTGTAAAACTATATTCTTTTTTATCTAAATAAAAAACAAATAAAATTCAATAAAAGATTTTTTAAATTTACCAATTCGTTCATAAATAGCACTAATTGTTGTAATTTCTCGTCCTTTACCATATGATAATTCATCTTGAATAGCTTCAAGTATTTTACGTTGAATAGGAATTAAATTTCTGAAAAATATACATATATGTTTCAAATGAAATAATATTTATTTCAAATTTACCGAATAAATATTGTTCTTGTTGATGTATATAAACGTTCAAATGTTTTTTGTACATGTTCAAGTGTAACTTTATTTGATAATTTATCTAATTGTGCCATATCTAATGTTTGTGAACATATTTGTAATACACGACGAACATCACCTGATATCGATGAAACTTTTCGACATATTAAATCAAGTGCATCTTTATCGAATAATGATGATAAATCTGACCCAAGCCGAACTTGTACGATTTCATTTAATTGTTTAAATGTATATGGATGAAATATAACACGATTTAAACCCTGACAAAAAAAAAGAAATCAATATTTCAACCTATCATTTTATTCATATTCATACATATAAAAATCAATCAAGCAAAACGAAAAAAAAGTTTCAATGGCAAATGAATTGAATTTTTATGTTTTAAAAACAATTGAATTGCAAGGTGTAGAAAAACTGTATTGTCTTCATGGAAATTGGTCTTCAATAATTCATATAGCACATTTTTCTCAAACAAGTTCATCTATTCTTACAGAACGTATTCATTATATAATTAAACAATTATTAAAAAAACATCCGCGACTTCGTTCTCGTATTCGTGTTATACGTTCATTTGATTCACAAACAAATAATGAAAAACATCTTTTAGATTTATTTGATTATGATGAAGAATTATTTTCTCGAACGGATATATTACAAAATTTTTATTCATTTTATTCCGGAAATGAAAATTGGATGAAAATAGCTGAAAGTTTATCAAATGAAAATCCTTATAATAAAGAATTAGCTTATATTTTTCCTTTATTTCATTTTAAATTAATTTTTAATGAAAATTCTCCTGAAAATTCGCATTTAATTCTATTAACAAATCATTCTATTTCTGATGGACAAAGTGGTTATATTATTTTACATGATTATTTAACATTAGCTACACAAAATGAATGCGTTGAATGGGAAATAAATAGAAATCTAAGTCCTAATCTAATAGATTTAACAGAAAAACCATATACATTTCTATATCCTATTATTTCGAAATTATGTAATATTGTTTATAGTTGTCAAATGAAATATTTAGATAATAAATTACCTACAAAATCAATTCTTATTAATTCTAAACAACCAAATGATAAACGATATCCATATATTCAACCAATGCGTACTCATTTTCTATTTACATCATGTTCAAATGATCATTATGAACATCTTCGATCTATATGTCATAAACAAAATTTAACTCTTCATGGACCATTATTTGCATGTTTAATATTAACTATTCAATATTTATTTTTTCCGAAATTTAAACGAGATATTCTGATGAATTTCGATATTTCAATTGATTATAATATGCGTAATCGTTTGTTATTAAATGATTATTCTCTTAAAGAAATAGTTGGATTTTATATTGGTGTTAATTCTATTGATTTATCTGATATATCAGTAAATATGAATTTTTGGTCTTTAGCAAATTATTGTTCAAAAGAAACAAATAAGAAATTATCCGATGGTGAGGTATCATTCAATACACATATTTTTTCTAATATAATTAATGATGATAAAAATGATTTTTTTCATTTAATGGGAAAATCTTCTGATGGATGTTTATCTGAAATGAATTATTCTAATCTTGGTAAATATCCTTATGATATTACACAATATAAAAATGTTAATCTCGATGGTATACATTTAATTAACAATAGTTCAATTTATTATTCTTCAACAATTATTTATTTAACATGTGTTAAACAAATTGATATAAGTCTTGCGCATCGTTTTGAACATCATGATAAAGCAAAAGAATTCTTATATTTATATAAAAATTTAATTGAATTATCAATTGATTTTCATATGAATACGACTATTCAAGATATATTTGATTTACTAAATAAAAACACTTACTAAACGTGATTGAAGTTTTTTTTTAAACATTGTTTCAGGTAAATCAAGTGTATTCGCAATTGCAATAACAATTAATTTTGAATAGGGTTGTTGTGGCCATTCTAACATATTATATAATATTGTTTGATTTTTTGTATATAAATAATCAACCTTAAATAAAAATTGAATTTACAGAAAAACAAAATAAAAATTAAATTTACTTCATCCAGTAATAAAACAATTGCTTGTTTTTTTTTATTCGAACGATCTGTAAAATATTTCGAAAGAAGTTTACAGGCCATTTTTGCACTTCGTTTTCGATTGATTTCATCAGGATTAATAGCCTTGAAATAGAATTATATTAATATATATTATTATAAGAAGAAAATAAATTATACTTGTAAAAGTTGATTATAAATTTTTTCTGGTTTATTTAATTTCATTCCATTTAGAAATATATATTTAAATTGTGGTAGATCAGTATCAGTTGAAAGAAGCATTAATTCACGTACTACTTTATTTACAATAGCTGTTTTTCCAACACCAGGTACACCACTTATATACAAAGCTCTAAACAAAAATGGTAGACATGCATCGAATCTCGGATTTTATTATGAATCACATACCCTCCAGATTGTGCATCGAGTTTATTTGTAATAAATGCTGAAATCGAACTAGATTCTTGTTCACGACATGGTGGAGCTTCAGGTAAGTTTGTTGGTAAAAGTCTAAATAAAATAATTTTATAAAAAAAAGAGAATAAGAAATATTCTAACCTTTGTCGAGCTTGAACAAATTTATCGTTGGATATATCCATCGATAATGAATTATCATCATCATTTTGTAAATCAGATAATGTCATTGTATTCATCTAAGAATGAACAGAAAAATCAATAAGAAATTTTATTAGTAATAGAATTTACCCGAGGTAAAAACGTTGGTTTTCCTTTTTTTGTAATTGGTGTTCCTTTATTAACCAAATTTGTTTTTCGATTATTAGTGGCAGTAGTAGTTATATTTGTGACAATCTTTTCATCTTCACTCGATGAACTTTCATCATCATCATCGTCGTCGTCGTCATCGTCGTCTTCATCATCATCATCACTTGAAGAGTATTGTTCTTGTTCATTATCATCTTTATCTTTTTCAAAACTAATTAGACGGCTTGCTCTTGTTGAAGGTCTTGGTGTATGATTTAACTCTTTTTTGACAATAGGTGATGATAATGAAACAACAGGTGTTGATGGTGTTCGTACACGAAGATTGTATTTAAGATTTTGTATTGAATCTTTTCTTGCTCTTGGTGTTGACCATTGACCTGTTGTTGTATCACGAATTATTTTTATTGGTGTTAGAACAATACGAACACTATCACATGGATTCGAAGTCATAGTTTAACGTTTCTCTTTAAATAAAAGATTTTTCTACATGGAATAAATCTTCTTTGTATCCATAAATATGAATCATCATTGTTCGAAATGACCCAATCGATGAAACGATATAGAAGATGTCACAATTCAATAACTTCTTTTCTTTCCTGAACAAATTTCAAAGAAAATAAATTCAAATCGTTTAGTACATATTCTTAACACAAATTTTTTTATTTAAATTGAAACTGCACTTTGTTATCGAATACTACTAAGCTACTCTATATGTACACCCTCATGATATAAACCAAGAATTATACGTTTGTTATTTTTTCTATCAAGCAATACATCGAACATTACTTTCTTCTGTATTGATTGCCTAAGCAACATAAAAAAGAAACAGTTCTTTTGTTCTCCTAAATACTTGAAGATAAGAAAAAAGAAATGTGCACATATGTTACTTTTCGCCTTCTTTTTTTATTAAAGGTAAAAAAATTGAGACGATTTGCAATACAAGTTTAATGGAGATTATAATTCAAATAAAGCTTGTCGTTTTCTTGGCTAGCAAAAGCAATCAATAGTACAAATTTACTGTTTAAACAGCACAACAAATTATTTCACAGCTGAAATTGTATATATATAAATAAAATTCTATTAAATTGAAGACATTCGATCACAAAAGCAATGCAGTAAATGGAAACAAAACTTTTGCTTTTTTTTAAACACAGCTGAATTAACAATTTCATTACGACTACAAAAATATGTCTCATTCATCTATAATCATAATACCACCTCTAACTAATTTCTTCACATAATTCATGTGACGAGGACAACAATTCATATCAAAAATGAATCTCCAATCAATATGATTTCTTGTAAGAATATTCAAAAATAAAATATAATTCAATGATTCATTTGTTTTTATTTAGACAACTAAATAAATTGAACACATTTCCATGACACTAAATCCACCCTGTCAAGCACAGTTGCTTATATTGTAAGACTATTTAAAAAGAAATATAATTTAATGATTAATTTGTTTTTTTCAGACAACTATAATTTGATCTCATTTTCAAGAAACCTAACCCACCCCATCAACCATACTTGTTTATATTGTAAGAATATTTAAAAAACAAATAAAAATCACCGATTAGCTATTAATTTATTTTTATTTAGACAACTAAATAAATTGATACTATTTCTTTGAAACGAAATCCGCCCTATCAACCACAGTTGCTTATTTTGTAAGAATATTTAAAAACAAATATAATTCAATGATTGATTTGGTTTTATTTAGACAACTATTAATTCGACTCTATTTTTTTGAAACGAAATCCACCCTATCAACCATGCTTGTACTAAATGTGGTAAATGCCGTGACATTTTCTGAAATCTACCACCGATTTTTAAAATATTACTATCGTATACTAAAATCTTTATGTTTTTTTTAATTTAATAAATAAAAATGAATTTATATTCCAATTCTTTTGTAAATATATATAAATGAACTAGCGCAATGATTTAATTACTCATTAGCATACGTTATACAGTTGCTATATACAACTAATGCTATTCATCTATATCAAATACATATTTATCTTTATTGAAATTTTTCAATATTGTCATGCAAATTCAACTATTATTCATCTCAACAAAACATTTGGTAGACTTGAAATATTTTAAAATTTATTGTATATTATATTTCTATAGAATATAATGTCAGTACCACAGATGAAAAATTTGATCTAATAATTTCACAAAATTTATCTGAAGAAAATTGTTCTTATCCATTTTTAACTTTAGTAGATTTAGTGTCATTCTATTCATTAACAATAACAAATTTAACTATTCTACCAGAATCTATAACTAGTTTAAAATTAATTCATATATGTATATATATTGATATAAAAAGTATACAAAAATTCCTAAGTATTCGTCGTTTAATGTTCGAAAATTGTACTATTCAATTTCTGGCTAGTCAACAACATGAAGATTATGATTTTTATCCAAAAAATTTATCTCGATGGTCATTTAATCAAGGTCAAACAGAAACATTTGATCAATTTATTACTATGATTAATCATCTAGGTATATAAAAATTCTGTGATAAAAACTATTCTTTTATTTAGGTCCATTTAAATTTGATTTACAAATATCGAACTGTTTTAAACCAATTTTATCCTTTAATGATTTTATTCCACTTCGTACACAATTTATTTTTCTCAGTATAACATGTGAAAATTTTCAAATTGATGAACCATTTGATAATAAAACACGTGATGCAATTTATCTTACACCAACATTAATTATTAATATTCAATCAAGTCATTGTCCATCAGTAGAAAAATATTATTGGTTAAATTTAAAACTTAGTAATACAAGAATTTCTACTCTACGAACGTTAACATGTGAAAATCGTCTTATTCAACTCAATTTTGATATAAATCAAACAATTATGATAATGAATACAACAAAGATGAATATTATAAATCAAACAACTATTAGAAATAAATGGACCATACCAATTTTAATTAATTTTTCAGTTGTTTTTCTATCAATTCTAATGTTACTCATAGCGTTTACTGTTTTTCTTATTCGTTTTTATAAGAAATAAATCAACCATTTAAAAAAAAATTTTCGTAACGAAATTTTTTTATTCTCCTTTAAACTTAAATTCGAAAAGAAAAAAAGGAATTATTTTATTCTTTTACAATAATTTTAAAAATTTATGTAACGAACGACATCTTTTTTCTAATTAAAATATTTGACGATGCAATACACGGCGATAGAAGATTGGTTAAAAAATTCATTCAGTCCCATTCGTACAGAACATCAACTCGAATATATTCAAAAGAAAATATTTAACCGACATCATTTATTCAAACATCTACACATCGATTGTACATGTTTAAGTGGCTTTTATTCAGCGCTTTATTAAGCGTGTTTCTTTTCACGAGTAAGTGAATGACTTCATAGAAAGAATAATATTTATTTTACATGTTCTATATTATAGATATCTGTAAAGCTCATGAAGATAGTGAAACAACATCAGCAACACTTCCACCAAGAGTTGATGAAAATATAGGAAAACATAGTGATGGATCTAAAACTGATGATGAAGTTGTTCAAAAGTAAGATTAGTAATTTCTAATTAATTCCCTATGATCTTTATTTCATTTAAATAGAGAAGAAGAAGCAATTAAATTAGATGGTTTAAGTGCAAAAGAATTCCGTACATTAGTTGATTCATCTGAAAAACATCAATTTCAAACTGAAGTTAATCGTATGATGAAATTAATTATTAATTCATTGTATAAAAATAAAGAAATCTTTTTACGTGAACTTATATCGAATGCATCTGATGCACTTGATAAAATACGTTTTCTATCATTGACCGATAAAAGTGTACTTGGTGATAAAGAAGAATTAACAATACGTATTAAAATTGATAAAGATAATCGAATGTTACATATAACAGATACTGGTATTGGTATGACAAAAGCTGATCTTGTTAGTTTTCTTGGTACAATTGCTAAATCAGATACATCAGAATTTTTAAATAAAGTTCAAGAAGCACAAAAAGAATCGAAAGAAGGTGTACAAATGAGTGATCTTATTGGACAATTTGGTGTTGGGTTTTATTCAAGTTTTCTTGTTGCTCATAAAGTTATTGTTACATCGAAAAATAATGCTGATGATCAACATATTTGGGAATCTGATTCAACTTCATTCAATGTTGTTAAAGATCCTCGAGGAAATACACTTGGCCGTGGAACAACAGTCAGGTAAAATAAAAAATTAAAATAAAAAATTAGATTTATATATTTCGATTTTTTTAGTCTTCATTTGAAAGAAGAAGCTGGAGAATATTTAGAAATTTCAACACTTGAAGAAATTATTCGTAAATATTCACAATTTATTAATTTCAATATTTATTTATGGAAATCAAAAACTATTAAAGAAGAAGTACCAGATGATGATGGTAAATATTGTTTTCCTATTTTAAATATATATATATATTGACTATGTTTTAGCTGCTAATGACGACAAAAAAGATGAAGCTGATAAAAAAACTGATGATGACGCAGCTGTTGAAGATGATAAAGAAGAAGACAAAAAATCCAAAACAAAAACTGTTGATAAAACCGTTTGGGATTGGGATTTAATGAATGAAAGTAAACCAATTTGGCAAAGAAAGTAAGTTTTTCGGTATTGCCCCAAAATTCGGAAATTTTTGGAAAAAGATTCAACAGTTTATTTAACAGAGAATCATGTACAAGAAAGAGGAGAAATCATTTGATTTGAAGAGAAGTGATGTAGTTCACTTTTTAGTAGCCACCAATAAAGAAAGTCGCACGAGATATTCATCGCGATCGCCCTCGAAATGTTTAGCAAGTAGGACTGTGAAAGCTCAGGTTCAGTTCTTTCGAACTGGAACTGTTATATTTCTATTGGCAAGAGTGTTGACTCTAGTTAGAAGGTGTGAGTGTGGATAAAGTATGGACACAACACCCACACCCACACCCTATTTCCTAATAGAAGTGCAGAGCACAGTAAAGTAGAATGGCACTCGGTAGACGATAATCATGATTGATGTAGACTACCATAAGCATTTATGAAAGAATATTATCATTCTCTTCTGTTAGAACGATATCAGAAATTTTCCGGATTTCAAGACATATTCAGTTTTTCAATAATACATAATTAAAATAAATTTTATGTTTTTTTTAGACCATCTGAAGTTACTGAAGAGGAATATAATGGTTTTTATAAAACATTTACAAAAGAAACTGAAACACCCATGATCTACAGTCATTTTACTGCTGAAGGTGAAGTTACATTTAAATCAATTCTTTATGTTCCAAAAGCTGCACCATTTGATTTATTTTCAAATTATAATAAGAAAACCGATGCAATTAAACTTTATGTTCGTCGTGTTTTTATTACGGATAATTTTGAAGAAATGATGCCAAAATATTTATCATTTATTCGTGGTGTTGTTGATAGTGATGATTTACCATTGAATGTTTCACGTGAAACTTTACAACAATCAAAATTACTTAAAGTTATTAAGAAAAAACTTGTACGAAAAGCATTAGATATGTTAAAAAAAATTTCACCCGAAGATTATGTTAGTTTCTGGAAAGAATATGGTACGAATATCAAATTAGGTGTTATTGAAGATTCAGCAAATCGCACACGTTTAGCTAAATTACTTCGTTATTCAACATCACAATCAAAAGATAAACAAATAAGTTTAACTGAATATATTGAACGTATGAAACCAAAACAAGAACATATTTATTTTATTGCTGCTATGACAATTGAAGAAGCTGAAAAATCACCATTTGTTGAACGTATTTTAAAGAAAGGTTATGAAGTTCTCTATTTAATTGATCCTGTTGATCAATATTGTATGCAATCATTACCGGAATATGAAGGAAAAAAATTTCAAAATGTTGCTAAAGATGGTTTAGAATTAGATAAATCTAATGTACGAAAAGAAGAAGAAAAAAAACAATTAGAAAAAACTTATGAACCATTATTAAATTGGCTTAAAGAAAAACTTAGTGAAAAAATAAGTGATGCCAAAGTTTCAGATCGTCTTGTACAAACACCAATGGCACTTGTTGCATCACAATGGGGTTATGATGGTAATATGGAAAGAATTGCTCGTGCACAAGCCTATCAAAAAAGTGGTGGTGATCAAACAATGAATTATTATTTAAATCAAAAGAAAACATTAGAAGTTAATCCACGTCATCCACTTATTAAAGATTTACTTCGTCGTATTGAAGATTCAAAAGATGATAAGACAGCACTTGATTTAGCAAATGTTATGGTTGAAGCTGCAACACTTCGATCAGGTTATGATTTGAAAGATTCAACTGGTTTTGCTGATCGAATTGAATCAATGTTACGACGTGCTATGGGAGTTTCATTAGATGAAAAAGTTGAAGATGAACCTGTTGATGATGAACCAATTGAAGGAGAAAATGAAGCACCAAAAGATGAAAATATTATTGATGATGATGAAACAGATACAAAATCTAATAAAGTATGTTACTTGATTAAAAACTAATTCAATATAATTATTTTTTCTTCTTTAAATTTAGGAAAAACATGATGATCTATAAGCAATAACAAAAAAAACATCTAAGACAATCATAATCTTAAAACATATCGTCAAATATTCTTGATAAACATTCCTTCCGTATATAACTACGTCTATATGTGTAATAGTCCGATGAAAAAACTTAGGCATCTATACGCATGTGCATTTTATTATTACTAGTTTGTTCTGTTTTCTCATTCTCAACATTCATTAGTTTTTCTTTCATTTCTGTTTATTTATAAAATTGACTTTCAACTGTTAGACACTTTCATTTTTCTTTTCTTATATTATGTTACCTCTACTGCTGTTGTTTTTTTTGTCTAACGCTTACAAATAAAACTATTACTTAGGTTATTAATGCTTACTTGATATAAAACTAATTAATGAAAAAATTCAAATATATTTATATAAAGATTATTGACATGAATAATTGTTGAGTGTAGATGTGTGTCTATCACTTGCACTTCGAATAAAAACTATCATCATTCATTGAACTTCGAATGACTAATAGTGAGACTGCTGAACGATTCCATAATTGATACGATTAAACTCAGATACCATACAATGTTTATTGATGAATTGGGCTAAAAATAATTTTTATATGAAATTGCGGATCATTTCAGATTCAATTCGTACTTCGCTTCGAATTTTATTCCAACAAAAAATAACCTTACCTTGGGTTTTTTTTCATAACATAACTAGTAGATAATTGAGATCTTGACCTTTGATTTACTCACACAAAGTTATAAATCTTACTTAAAAATGATGCTCAAATATGCGTTGAAAAAAAAATAGAGGTCTGTGATTTTTTGATAACCTTGAATATCAGCTATTTATATACAACGTTACTAGTATACTACATGTGAAGAAATATCATTAGGTTTCGTTCATGTATAAAAAGTCTGTAACTAATTACTTTTTATATGATTTCAAAAATCTAACGTATAATTGAATTGAAACTTTGTCTACTTATAGAATATGACTTGGATTCACATGGCAAATAGTTTCGCTTTCATTAATTCTATTTATTGTGCAAAGGATTTTACAAAAAGAAAATGCATTTTTTCAATAAAGGGTTCTAGAGGTTATAATGCTTATCGTATGCTTTACCGTCGTCACACATTTCGTATTTTGTATCGAAGAACAACAAAGAAATGAGTAAAGACCAGGTAAATGGAGTGCTCTACCTTTGCCACAAACAAAGTTTAATGTAATCATTCTCTGTCGTATCGTACTGTTTCGAATTTACCTTGAGCTTAAGAACGTTGTTGCATAGCACTCAACGATTAATCAGAGACTTCCAGCGCTAGAATAAGTCGCTGTAAACAATTGGACACATTAAAGGAACGTTGCATAGATGTTATTCTCGAATTAAAAACGCAGTATTAATCAATTTATTACTGTGAGGTAAGTGTAGGATAGGATAAGGGCTATATAGTTTGATATTCTAAACTATCACGAAGTTTGCCATATGCAACGTTCTGTTTTTTTGTAATGAATTTTCCGTATTATTGTATTAAAATATCAAGTCTTAAACCTTTTCTTCAGTGCAGAGATCAATAAGTGAGTAAAAAAGTGTCCGTTATTGAGTTCATCGTTTGTTTGATAAAACAGATGTCGGAAGGAAGATAACAAAGTAGGAAATCATTGCTTTCTTCGCTTAGAGATAAGAAAGAATTTCCCAGACACCTCGCACTTAGTAATAGAGTAACTTGGAATTTTCCACCATCATTGATATGCAAAATACATCTATTCACTGAAATGTATATAGTGGTATAGATTAATCGAATTGAAATATTAGATCATGTAGAAATATATTATAGATTATCTATTTACGTAGTTTATTATTTGAAGAATAAGATTATATATGGAGTGAATGAATTTAAGCGCCATCTATCGTTATTAACACGTGATTGGTTAAGGATAGTAACCGATAAAGTTTAAAATCGAGACCCCTTTCATAATGTTTTTTTGTTGTTGTTCAGTTTATTTCTCTTTCGTTCGAGATTTATCTTTCCTATACAATAAAATAAAAGTGTATTACGTTTCTTTCTATTGATATATATATATACATATATTAATAAAATATTATTAGATATTGTGTTTGTCTTTGGTTTATATTGAAAATATCTTTCTATCTATTGAATACTAACAATGGCTTTATGTATGACATTAAAACGTTCATTTGAACATGATCGAGACTCGAATACAAATTCTCCCCCATATGAATCAAGGGCATCTTCATCATCGAAACGTCAACGTCGTTGTTTTCCAATGACAGTTGTATCACCATCGAATGAAACATCAGCAACAACAACAACAACTGAAATGTCTTTTGGAAATCAATCTGTATTTCCAGATATTCAACCAATTCTTACAACTGGTAAAAGAAAAAATTTATATTCTTCAAAAAAAGAAATTTTTTTCTTTTTTTTTTCAAATTAGATGTTTTATTAACTCGAATAAAAGAAGAAGTACGCCGTCTTCAGCGACGTCATCAATTAAAAACTTCTTCTTCATCAGAATTAAATGATGATGATAGTAATAATTATTCAACAGATTCCACATCTTTAATTAATTTACCTGGACATAATAATCAACATCTTTTAACACTTAAACAAGTGAATATGATTTGTGCTCGATTATTAAAAGAACGTGAAGAAAAAGTACGTGAAGAATATGATCAAATATTATCAAATAAACTTAATGGTAAAATCAAATATAAATACTTATGTATGTATGTGTAAATATCATTTTTTTTTATTTCTTAGAGCAATATGAAGGTTTTGTTCGATTTACTCAAGATCAATTAACACGACGATTTTCTGAATTACAATTTTCTTGTAAATATTTTAAAATAAGAAAAATATATTTGATTTAATTTTTTTTTATTTAGATGTTTCATAAAACTGAAAATTCCGACTTAGAAGATTTAATTCTGGTGCTGGTCGATTCATTTCTTTTTTCTCGTTTCTTTCTTTTTGTGAAATAAAATCATTGATGTAGTAGTATTCACTTCTTGTTTGATCATATTTCTTTTTTTGGTGCGATTTCTAATGAGCAGATAGGGAAAGAAAAAAAATTTTGGAATAGTAACCATACTTGCTAATGCAGACTATAAATGAAAAAACAAATACATATTTAAATATATTATCTTTGTATTTTATCTTTTCTTCATGTTTATTAGTTTCGATGTTTGGTTTCTCTTCGTTTTTTTTTTCGTGTACAAAAATATGTGGCATTCGAGAAGAAACTTTTCTCTTTTTTGTTCTTAAATAAAGTTATTAACAAATTAGTTTATGCATTATCCTATAGTCTAGATAATGAATTCAATATCGACGATTTTTAGATTAATAACTATGAAAAGGTTAGTTAAATATATTATCTCTGTGTTTGATGTTGTATTATCTACGTTTTTATCAACTATTTTTTTGTGCATATGTGTATGAATGTACAAAATATTTGAATGTATGCGAGTTGCATACAATTGGTTGCTATTGTATGTCGTGTATGTAGATTAGACGAAGAAAAAAAATAAATGAAGAATGACGTGAATATGTAAAAAGAAAAAAAAGTAGCAACGAGCTGATGCACGACATTAACATGTGGATGGGAGGTTAAACCGTTAATAAGAAACGATGATAAGAGGGACAACGGAATGTTCTAGGATAGTGAGAAAAAGAAATGCAGGATGGGGAAAAAAAGAATCATCATCATCATCATTATCATCACTAAAATGCATATATATTCTACTCATTTCTTTCTATTGTCCGAACGTACAAGTATAGGCCAAACATCGGTCACGACTCGATAGTGTGATTCTCTGAGGCCTTTTTTTTCTTGTTCTTTATGACACATAACCTCGATATTATATAACGATTTCAATAGCAAAAAAAACAAGTAAGTATGATTTAAATAAAAAATTACTACATGAATATCTAGTGTAGATATAGATCTGTCAAATTATTAGTAACGAAAAACAACATATGAGAAAATACCATGTGACAAATATAGAACGAAGAAGAAAAAAAATATGATTTATTAATTAATTTTGAGAAAAGATAATATTCGAAACTTAATCTTTAGAATAATATACAAAGTCCAGCTATTATCATTGTTAATGATACCATTAGTTATCACGCTATTTGATTAATCTACCTTTGATATTTTTGTGAATTATAAATAATCAAGGATATTTCTCGAAATCTGTCAATAGTCTTCTATATTCAAAATTGATAGAATAAATACATTTATTTTCTTAGACGTCTTAATAATGTTAAGAAGTATACATCTCTAATCATATTATGTCGCTTGTTGATATTTATAAAGAGTATAATCATTATTGAATACAATACTAATTGTATTTTGATGAAACTATTTTTTTCTCTTTTTCTATAATATAAAATCACTTCTAAATTCTTTTTTTTTTGTGTGTCTAATATCTGTTACTGTAGTGATGCATTTTTGATTAAGAATCATATCTATTATTTAGTAGAAACAGAATAATAAACAAAAAATATCTATATGATTACTAACGTACGTTGGTGGTCTATGCGACAAGCAACTGTTTTGTTTGAGTTTCTTTCTATCAATAATAACTACGAACGTCATTTTTCTCTATGCAGCTGTTTGTTTGCATCGTCTTTTCTGTAGCAATAATAGTCAATCAAACGGTTTCTCTACTCGTTTTTTTTCCTATAGTTCTTTTTGTACGAAGAAATATGTATGTCTTCGAGTAATTGTTTTTCAGTCAATTGAGTGTCGTTACTATTCAGACATTCGTCTTATCGAATCAGCTTGCATATGTTCTCTCTTCATTGCTAGGAAAAAAAACAACATGTACGTAGAAAAATGTTACTAGCGAACAGAAAAGAAAAGAATATAAGTAGTAAAAAAAAAAGAGCAGAGAATATAACAGAAGAACGATAAATCTTCGTGTTTCTCTCCAAGGTAATATCCATAATTGTTACTGTCCTTCGTTTTTTGCTTAAGAACCTAATATCGAACGACGAATAAAAAAAATACACAAGAGCCATCAGGCATCAATGTAACATATTTATTACTTCTTGAATTTGATTATTATTATTAAAATAAATTGAAAATTCTGATCAATAAGAAAAATCTATTTACAAAAGCAATGAAGTCAATAATTCTGATATATGATCAAGTTAGAAGATTATATTTGGACTAGCGCTATACTGGTGTTTTTCCCTTCTTCTTTTTCTTCTTCTTCTTCATCTTTTATTTATTCTTCCTCCTCTTTTCCGACTATATCCCATCAATAAAAACAGATGGAAATCATTATATATTAATTGAAAATCAATAATGATTATCGAACCACGTCGTCGAAAGAGTTCCTCGGTGACATTCTCTGTGCCTGATGATCATTATCATCATCAATATTATGCACCACGAACATCAAGTTTTGCAGAGTCAGATTGGGATTATGGTTAGTAGGATAAATATATATGTATATGTATGTATTTTGCATGCCTGGATTATGTATATAGCGAAATAAAACTACCCGTTTTTTGTTTTTTAATGATAAATGCACTTTATTCTATATAGAAATGATTTATGTTTATTTTTATCTACACTTCTTTCTTTTTTTTTCTCTCTTCTTCTTAACTAAATAACAATTCTAATAACAACTTCTATACGATAAAATCTAAAACTTAAAAAACGACATTAAGTAATAAATATACTTATCATTATTTGAAAAAGAAAACTCATCTGAGTCACTTTAATCATAATTTATATTATTTACGACATATAATAAATGTCGTAGTGATATTCTCGAGTAAATCGTTTTTGTTAAAGCACTTTCTAAATAGTAGTCATATTGATGAAATCTATGGAGATTGTAACTAATTATGATGCAAATGTGGAGAATGCTTACGGTGTGTGTTTTTAATTAGATTTTTTAAATAAAAATTATCTATTATTTTTCTATTATTTAGAGCCGACTATTACAACAATTAGTCCAACAGCATTGGCTATGGCTCGAGCATTACGTAGTATTAAAACATTTAAAAAAAGTTGGGATTCAGATAAAGCACTTAAAAGTACATATGAAGGAAAACCTGCGAAATATCAATTACGTGCTTATATATTCTTGGCATTAGGTTATGCTGTTACGGCAGCATGGCTTTCGGAAATGCCTACATTTGCTTGTAAGTAATTATTTAGATATTCTATTTGTTTTTTTGAAATATATATTTAGTATTACCACCGAAATCTTTTAATTCCACTCCATATTATATATATAATGAAAGTGTAATTGAATTAAATATAACACAAAATACAACATGTGGAAAAGTTCAAACACTTTCAATCGATGGTCAAATGCGGAGACTTGAACCAAGATATAAGTATGATGATGAATATGGACGATCTGCTCTTACTGATGTAAATTAATACAAGATTTTTCTATATATTGATTTCTTAATGATAAATTCTTTTGTTTAGTTTAATACTCTATGTGATCCAATGCGTATAAGAATACCAAATATTGTTTATCTCATTGGTTTGATATTAGGAGGTCTTGTATTTGGTTATGCTGCTGATCATAGTGGAAGAAAAATGATTTTAACTGGTAAGAATTTGAAATAATCATAAAGTTTTAATTGAATATTTTTATTTTAAAAAATAGGATCTATGTGGACAGCATGTGCTCTATCAGTATTTCAACTTCTCAGTGATGATTACATATCTTATGTTTTTTTTATTCTTTTTGTTGGTATTGCAATTGGTGCTGTACAGGTTATAACTGTACCTTATGTTATAGAAATGGTAATTATCAAATATATATATTTTTGAAATATTTTTCAATGTATATATTTAGTTTCCTTCGGAATCTCGAGCTATCTATGGTTTACTATTAACAGCTTTTGTATTCTTATTTGATTTAATTATTCCTGGACTTGCATTTCTTTTGAAAAATTGGAAAATTTTACAAGGTGTTGTTACAGCACCATTAATTATTACTGCAGTTCTTTACTGGTAAGTTTTTAAATGAAATGAATATATATATATATATTTGATAAAGATTGTTACATAGAAAAGAAAGAATAAGTCAAGTGATAGTAATATCTGTCAGCACGCTATCGAGATAATGGCAGGATAATATGATATACATGTAATCTGTCTTTTGAAATGTAATACTCTCGGATGAATCATTTTCTTTCTTATGAATTCAGAGATCTAAATCATAACGATTGCGTAAATACCGATTCAAGGGATAAACAAAACTTCTTTTTTTCTAATCACAGTTTATAACTCAGCAAAAAAATTTATTAATTAAAGTTTTCTCTAGTAGCGGATCCTGAATTTCCATAAGGGGGTGGCGATGGAAAGTAGTATTATTTTTTAGGAGACAAACCTATAAGAGCAGTGGCGGATTTAGGGAGCAATGGGGGTGATTGCACCCCCCTTCCGAATTTTTTTTGATTTTTTACAGCAAAAATGAACGAAAAACTAGGTTCACACTACTTCAGTTGGACTCTAAAAACAGCTTTTAACCAAAATCGCCCCCTTTCCCAGGTATCGCCCATTCATACTCAAAAAAAAAAATCGCCCCCCCCCTTCCAAAATCCTAGATCCGCCACTGAACCTATAGTGTTCTACCTGTTTTCAGTATTTGTCGAAGTATCTATTTTCGAGGGGGTGACGGTCGTCTGTTCGCCGAATAGCTAGATCCGTCACTCATTCTCTCTATATATTTTCATAGAATTTGTGCATACTGATTTATTTATAACTATGCGTATCCATAGAATTGAAGATAATCCATAGAGACAACGTCTTTATATAACAAATCTAACCAATTTCCATATATTTATAAATAATTGAATAGAAGTCATTTTATTACTTTAATTGTTGTACGATGATCAAAATATAAAATTATTATTTCATAGTGAATAACAATAAAGAAGTTCATTGTAGATAACGTTTTTGATTTATTAATAAGTCGTAAATTAAAGTGAAATCTATAAAATAGATAATGATTTTAATTTGATTGACAATTCTATAACTAGAAAGAATATAATTCTCTCCTATGATTTTAAATTAAATTATTTAGGTGGACAGAAGAATCAATGTTTTGGTATACAACACAAAAAGATTATGTAACAGCTGTATTATCATTAACAAAAATTGCTCAATTTAATGGTATTGTTTTTGAAGATATATTTCGTGAAGCTAAAGATTTTCTTCGTGGTAAACGTTCAAAAGGCATTCAATGTGATTTTCAACCATTACTTCGACTTGGTTTGTTTAAAATCTTCTTTGTTTTTACAATAAAATTTCATTTGATTTTTTTTAAGAGGATATTCAATCATTAGGATTAAAATATCCTGATTTTGATATGGTTGATTTACAATCAACAGGTAAAAAAACTACTTTCACACAAAATATTGCACAAGTATTAACTGGTCATCATTATTATCCAACATTATCAACATTTTATCCAACTGATTTTCTTCATTCAACAATATTAAGTCTTTATTTACTTATTATGTGCGGTCTTTGGCTTGTTAGTTCATTAACAGAATATAGTTTGGATTCACCACATTTAACCCATCATTTAACAGATAATTTTTTTCTCAATTATTTCTATACACATCTTATTCAAGTTGCTTCGTTTATAGTTGCATTTCCAATGGTTTATAAGTATGAATAAGATATATATATATACATAGATTATGAAACATTTTTTCTAATTTAGATGGGGTCGTCGATGGCCAACATTTTGTTTTTTTCTTGTTGCTGAAGTTTGTTTACTTGGGTCATATACATTTCGTGAAAGTAATTGAAAACGAAATTTTATTTATAAAATTAAGTAAAAAAATATTTTAGATGTAGAAGATACACGTGCAGCAGTATTGATTGTTTATTTTATGGGTAAATTTGCATCTCGAGGTGGTTTTATTGTTATTTTACTTTATACATGTGAAATATTCCCAACTGGTTTAAGGTAAATTTTTAATCTCTAAAAAATCCTTTCAAGTTTTCTATATATTTAAAGATGTACAACGCTTGGTATATGTTATACATTTCGATTAATTGGTGTAGCATTGGCTTCTCAAGATGTCGTAAGTTAAAAATTAAATTTCTTATTTTTCTTATTCTAATAATATTTATTAAGGCTGGTATAAATGGTCGAACACCTCGACTTATTTATGGTGTTCTATCATTAATACTTGGTGCTATGGCACTTTTATTACCCGAAACAAAAAAATTTCCATTACCACGAACTATTGTTCAAGTCGAAGTTATTCCAACATCAATAAGTAAAAAATTTCGTCGACAACGTTCTGCACCAGCTAAAAGAAATGTTAAACCAGATGCTACACGTCCAGAAGGTCCACATGGATTTAATGATGCTGCTTCATGTGTATCTGGCGTACGTTCAGTTCGTTTTAATCCATATGATAATCAATCAACATTACATAGTGTTTATGAATTACAAGAATATGGACAAGATGATACTCTACATTCACAATCAAGTCGATATGGTCGCCGAATGGATTCACGTAATCCGAATATATTTCAACCAACTGGTGGAAATACTACAGAACCATATAGACAACAAACACCAATTGCTGAAGATGTTGAATATGATGAAGATGTTGATGATGACCGTACACGATATGCTCAACAACAACGACTTACAGAACAACGTTTTAATGAACAATCATTAACTAATGTACGTTCCGATGGTGAGATGAATAATTCAACAAATATAATTAATAAACAATCATCGAGTGATATACCATCTCAACTTGAAATAACAGCACAAATTCAAGCTGGTGATATAACAAATGATCGAAGTGGGTTAACAGAAAAATTATCAACAAATGAAGAAATTAATGATAAAAATAAACAAGATGATGATTTATCTAGAACACCAATACGAATTGTTGATGAACCAAATACATTTCCTCCGAATATAAGTGAAGATGAAAACTATTTTTCTGAACACTGCTAAATTGAAAAAAAAACAATACGATCATATTCTTCCTTGAAATGAACAGTGTGATATATACATAAATATTTAAACGATATCATAGTTTATAACAGTGAATACAGTTGATTTTAGGCGCGCTTAATTTCATTTTTTTTGTTTCTTCTTTTGTGGGCAGTTAGAATTCTCTTGTAGTTTAGATAATCGATGTTTTTTCTATCTTTGATAAAGTATCTCTATTCATGATTAAATATAAGAGCTGAGATTCCTCATTCTTTATGTGTTTCTTTTGTTTTTTGTATTTTCTTTTCAAGATTTATCATATTATTTCACTCACATATAACCGTGGATTGTTTTGTCATTTATGTTTATTTGAACAGTATAAAATTGTGTGTTATGTTCAATTTGATAAATAAATAAAACGAGTACAGAATAAATATGCAAGTAAAACCAAATGCGCATAATAATAATAACATATAAGATCAATATTTATTTGTAAAACCATACAAAGGTTAACGTTAAAATATTATTACAACGTCAATAATTTTAATGTGTAAATCTAATCAACTGATCAGTATGCATTACTATCTAAAACAAATGCATGTCTTTGAAATCTAATGTGATGTATGGTTAAGTGAACTCCAAATTTGAAGTTTTTCGACAAATTGTAACTGGATGATTATTTCTCTTGAGCATCACCAGTCGACTCAGCATAGTCCATAGTATCTATTAGAGCAATCAAAAACAGATGATTATAGTTTTTCGCGACAACTTAGACATCCGTAAACTTCATATTTGGAGCACACTTAGTTTGACCTGTATAGTTTATAATAATACGCAAGATAAAACTTTGTGACAAGTCTGAATGAAATATATTTTCAATTAAATACTCAGAATTTGAACATTATCATAAAGCTTAGATATACTAGACACAAGTTAAAATATTAATTTTATATTTATTCTTAAATATTGATCAATCTATGTTGATTCACATGTAACTATTGATTACCTTTTTCCGCGTTATTAATATTTATTTGAAAAAAGATAGAATAAATATATTAATAAAAAAATAGACATGTTGCAAAAATATCAGATACATATGTGCTTATAAACTATATAAAAGGATTATTTAAAATCATTCTTAAAGCATATATATATTACTAAGCGTCTAAAGTATTCTATTTAAAAAGATGTAAAAATGTTACTACGTCGCTGGACACCACCATCCCAAGTTCCAACAACTTCATTGGATCATAATGGAATACCACAACGTCAACGAATAATTATACGTTGGTTTAAATTAATAATATCTGCATTAATAGCATTAACTTTTCTTGGATTTTGTATTTTTTATTCTTTACAAAAGGAAAGATTTTTTAATGATGGATATCGATATAAACAACAAGATCAATATGAACGCGAACAACAATTATTATTTAATACATATATTCAAGATATATCAGATATTCTTTTAAAAATTACTGATAAAAATAATATTGATGAAAATATTCTTCTTCATATACGAACAAAAACATTAATAATTTTCAAAAACCTTGATACAAAATATAAAAAAGATATTATTTTATTTTTATATGAAAGACATCTTATGCAAAATAATCAATTAAATCTACGTGGCATTAATTTAAATGATGTTGAATTAATATGTCCATATGATTTTTCTCGTCTTTATTTACCTGACGTTATTTGGTCAAATGCGATTTTTATTAATTGTCGTTTAACATTTGCTATCCTTGATCGAGCACATCTTATTAATGCGAAATTTATTAATTCAACAATTCAATATGCATCATTAACTGATGCTAATCTTGATAATAGTTATTTCATAAAAACAATAATTATGAATACAAATTTCAATGGAGCTTCACTTATTCAAGCTGATTTTCTTCAAGCTGATATTGTACAAGGAAATAATTTTACAAATACTGATTTATATCAAGCAAAATTTACTAATAATCAATGGGAAGGAAAATATATTAATATTATTAAACATGATTTTTCTAATGCACGATTACCAAATGGAACTTTTCAATTAATAAATTCAGAAAAAAATTTAATTAGAAATGGAAATGCTGAAATGGAGGTAGAAAATTTTTTTTTATTCGGTCAAGCTAAGTATGCTCTAAATTTGGAGTTTTCGGATGTCTAAGTTAGAGGTGCATAATCTTCCTCGTGCGCCCCCGCGCGCGGAGGGAAAATTTTTTTAAAGCTGCATTTTTCGGGAAAATTTTTCAAAATTTATTTCGGGGAATTTTTTGAAAAATTTTCCCGGGAAGGAAAATTTTTGATTTTTGGGAAGATTCTGCCCCTCTGGTCTAAACTGTGCTGAGTCGACTGGTGATGCTGAAGAAAAACAGCACATAGTTTTAAGCTGCAATTTGTCGAAAAACTTCAAATTTAGAGCTCACTTAACTTGACTTTTTTATTCGAATTGAAATTATTTTTTTAAATAGTGTTTTGCTAATAACCAAACAATATGGGCAACAATTCATGATAATATGACATTATCTACAAATATAACAAACAATGATACTTATTGGGGAGATTGTTCATTTGTTATATCAACTCCAACACGTGTATATCAAAATATTAATTTAAATTCTAACAAACATTTAATTGATACAAATAATAGTATATTATCATTCTTAGGATATGCTAGTTGTAATCAATCTTATTTTGAACTTCATATATTTCGAGATGATAATATTTTACATGCATTAAAAATCTATCCAAGTAAATGAAACTAAATTTAATATTTTAATTTTTATAAATATTTTTTAGAACCGATGAATGGTACAGAATCATATCGAAATAAATCAATGTATTTATATGGTGAATATGAATATAGTTTACCAATACGTACACGTAATATAACAATCTATTTCGGTGTTGAAATTTTTACTATTGATCATCAATGTTATTTTGATAATATAACACTTAGAATTAATCAAAGTAAAATAAATTAAATTCTTGTATGTTTTTCTATTTTCCGAAATAAATATATTTATGAAAATTAGGAACAAAAAATGGCATAGTTCATTTTTTATTAAGATTGATAAGATTAAAGATTTTTTCCGCATGCATACATGTCATGTACGATCAACAATATCAATCATTTTTTTTATTTAATATATGCATATTTTACATATCTTTTTTGATAAAGTATACACTGAATACATTATTTATAGTGCAAATTCTATAGACTGCATATCTCTTATCAGCAGATTAGTTCTAATTTTAACTTTTCATAAAGGATTACTCTTTAGCAGATCTCAACAATAGATTAGACTTATCATAGAATAATTGGTATACATATAAATATGACAATTTGTCCATCAATAGTACTTAAAATGACATCAATTTCGCGTTTATAATAATTTTCTCGTTAAAAGTCCGGTATACATATATAAGTAAAATAAAGCATATATCTATGTTTATAGAATAATATGTATCGGACTTCGTAAGTAGATAGTTTTTATCGGTTGATATTAATTAAATCAGACAGGTTCTCTATATAAATATTACTTTAATAAATGAGAGTAGCATGAATCGACCATCACTTTGTTGAGAAAAGATTTTTAGTAAAATATTTTACAATTTCATTACTATAAGAAGTTAGAGAATAGCATTTTGAGTTCATACTACTTTAATTACCTAATTGATAGATTTTAAATTGTTATGAAAAGATTCGAGAATAATTTTGTACTTAATCATGCATGAACTTCTCTATTATTAGACGAACCAATGTTATGAGTATACTTAAGGTGAGAAAATTAAATCGACATACCGAGTAAATATAAAGATGTAGTGTGCACATGTGCTACCTTTTCATGTTAGAAGATAATTATTTGAATATACTTATAGGCGAAAAACACAGGAAATTTTATAAAAAAATATGGTCACGTGTGTGTATCTAAGTCAAAGCTGATACATTAGATAAGAATATGCACTCAAAATTCCTGTTTGTGATAGTGTGTGTGGCAGATCTAATCAAAAAAACGTTCTTGATAGTAAAAAATTAGTATTCAATGGTGCTAAATGTTATTATAAAGTGTCAAACAATATTTTCTATATTTATAAAATATTACCTCATAGTAAGTTTAAAAATAGATTCATAACTTCTGACAAGTATTTTAGAAAAACTAGAGTTTTAATTAGTAACATAACTTTTCGTGAATAATTGATCAAGATTTTATTAATACAGATTCGATCAGTAATCTCATCGATCTCACTTATGCTTCTTCGTTTTTAAACTATAACATGAAATGATAAAAAAACTACTATCAAATAGTATTATTTAATTATATACTATCGACAACTCGATATTTAGAATTCATATCATGTATAGACTATCGAGAGAAAAAAATGAGATTATTAATTCTACTAACAAATTTGTTTAAAATGAACATAAGATCTACGATTCGATCTAAAAACTCCAATGCATACTTAATTTCAGTCCAATCTTTTGCGCTTTCATTTAATATGCAATTCATTATTTATTTTCTTTGAAATAACAAGAATAATATTATATATGATTCAGTAAATAAATATTTAATTATATCTATTCGAATAATTTTTCTGTCAAACATATGCTTCTCATTAGTGTATTCATACTTAATAGCATAAGTATTCATCTTATCATGAGATTTTCTAAGCTTGGTAATAACTAAAAAATGCTCCAGGAAATACATGTGAATTTCATCTAGTTAAAAACACATATGATAAGAAAAGTTCATATAGTAATTCTAACGAGTAGTAGGACTTCAATAAAAACATATTAATAAAAGGAAATCTTATGCTATTAGTTAAAAGAACTTCCTAGGGATGCTTACGATAGAACGACCCGGAATGATTCAACATATGATCTAAGAAAGAGAAATATTCATTGTGACAAAAAAATCTATTACCATCTGATGAGACGCGCATGGTTTTCGCATCACTTCCCAATCACAATAGTTATTCAGAAATCTTTCAGAAACTCATTCTTTAAATTGTACTTAAGTAGAAATGTAATTATGAATGTCTGAGATTCAATTAGTCTGTCTGTAATACACTTTTGATCATTCGGATCCTACGTGGTTTTATACCAAAAATAAATAATACTGCAATGTTGTATTTATAGCTTATCTAACTTCATCACATGTTTTGAAATGATGTTTATTATACTTTTACATACGACATATCTACCATATAAGCGATAAAAGTATTAAAATCTATATATACATATGTCTATATTTATAACAAAAATTCTAAATAAATTTTTTTGAAATTATTTAATACATATTCATAAAAAAATGTGAAAGTTTTCACGTATATTTTGAAATAAAAGCAAATATTCATGTAGGATATTGATTTAATAATCTGTGAATATGTGTAATTCACTGTTTATTTAATCTGTTTTAAACTAAACGAACTTTGTCTGAGCAAATATTAATAATAATAACAAATAATCTTAAAATGTGTTATATAAAACAGAGAAGGATTTTCTTTTTATTGATAAAATAAACAAATCTGTATTGTTATTTAATCAATTAATCTCATATCATATCCAAAAGAAGTTTCGATTTCATGATATGTTATTTAGAAATAGTTGATTCATTTTTCTTGTCTCTCTATTCTCCGAGGAATGTTACTATGACAAGCATATCAAGTTATTGTATTGAGTGTTAATGTGTAAAAAAGAAGAGAGAGAGAGAATAAATACTGGAAAATAGAATAATAAATCCGTTTTTTTCCTATCATTAGTAGGAAGAAGAAGAAGAAGAAGAATTATTTTTCAAGGTTAACTTTATACGAGCAAAACACTTTTCCTTTTTAAGATACTTCATATTTAGTAAACTTATAACAAATAACATTAGAAAACTTGAGAACTTATATCGCTACTTGAAACTATATGTATTATCTTACGTTAGTTTTTTTTATCTTCAAGGAAAACAAGTCAACGAGAAAACAGAAAGATCGTATTGTAAATAAGAATATTTTTTTTGTCTTTGTTTTTATTTAATATATCAATATGATAGATGTAAATAATATACTTTCTTTTGTTCGGCTTGATCAATTATTTTATAATATAACAATAAAATATCTTTTGCTGCTTTTTTTAACTTACAAAACAAAGATATATATATATATATATCTATTGTGTTAATTATCCTTTATTTCGAAGCATTTGTTCTACATTCAAAGACATATTTTTGTATACCAAAACAATATGTTATTATCAATGATGGATAACAAAGAATCGTTTCATGCATCTAGTATTGCTGATTTTCGAAAGGAATGCGTCTTTCTCTTTTTCTATATGTTATTTTTGTGCATCGGATTAAGTGCATTTCATATTGATAAAGAATGAAAGAAGGAAAGAGTTATTTTAGAGTAAGTGAATTAGTGAATGTGTGTGTGACAGTGACAGGCATAAGAGAAAAAAATGGTTAGATCACTTTTTATATGATTCGATTATCCACTAAATAGATGGCCGGATGGACAAGTCACTTGGTTTCCGAGTACGTTACTTAAAAGAAAAACAGCTTATAGAACGAAAAATAACGGATCATTGTATGGTAGATATAAATGACTTTGCGTGTTGTTAAAAATGCAATATTTGTTCGGCACCATCAAAGAGAATAAAAAAATGAATCGTAGAACATAGAAATGAAGTGGCAGCGAAGGCGCAACAGTAGAGAAGCAACAACGCACTTGTTATGTTAGAAATGACGACGACGGAAAATTGTCAAGAAAGAAGGAGGGAAGCATTTCAAAGTATCGCTACAACACGACAGGCGGGTAAAAACGTGAGATAGTAGAAACGCTCTTTTTTCTTTGTGTTCTTCTCGAACCATCCTTTGTCTATGACACATTTTAACATTGTAAAATATTTAATAATAAAATAGATTGTAAAATATCAGTAAATAATTATTGTTTTGATAAGTTAATATAAATAGTACTGTATATATTAAATATTTAGCTTTAAGTTTTATAACAATATTTCTTTCCGATCTACTACATAGTACTTCAATGTCATAATTCATTTTACTTTATGCATCATATATTTTTTTATATTTATCGGTACTAGATGATTTCTAGTTCATTTCATCCGATAGAAATTTACATTTTATTAATAATTCATTATTTTAAACCATTAGTAAGAAATATTAATATATTTTTTTGTTATAGTTATATTATTCAAATGAGTTAATTATAGGTTTTTCAAACGAGTCAAATATATATATATATATTAATTCAGACATGGTAATTTTTCATTATAGAAAGTGTAGTTTTCTTCCTTTTTTCTTTTATCTTTAAGAAATAGAAAAAAGATATGAGAATATTCTGCGTAATTTCTAAATCGAATAGTTAGTCGTGCTTAAGTAATGAAATAAATTCTCTAATCTATTTCTTTTATTCGAACTTCAGTAATGATTCTATTTAGACATTAGACGAAATTTAATCGATAAAAAAGAAGAAAAGAAGATGAAGATTTTAACTATTATTCGCGAGTATTAACTTATATATTCTTATTATTTCGATAGAATCATCCTAATCTTAATATAGATAAAGATTTCTCCATCTTATTAATTCCTATAAGACGACTATCATCGAATTCTTTTTATCTTTATTAGAACTTAACTTAATAAAGTCATTCATGATTCGTCTTACAGAGAATTTTTCCATCTATCTAACAGTCGATATTGATTACTCCTTGTTCTGTTTATTTCCGTTATATCCTGGATGAATAAGTGACAGCTGTCCAGAGCACCTGACACCAATATCCTATTTATGTATCATACATGGATGTATACAAATGTTATTTTCTTATTGCTTTATTCAAAAATATATTTCTAACTTAGAAATTCTAGAGTAATAACGATAATCCTTCTTTTTTTCCTCAATTCTCTTGTCTAGTCTCTCTCTGTCTATTGAAAAGAGACGATGACTATACATAATTGATGTGGCAGCAAGTGGCAACAACAAGAGCAAAAGCAACAACAACAACATTAATAAGATAAAAAATAAGCTGATGATGGCATGGCATCGACTTCATCGGTGTGTTCGAATGTTACGTTCAAAATCTGGTCGAATGATAATTATGTTGGTACTAACTGTTGTTATCGCAGTAGCTGAAATAGTATATGGATTACAAGCACGTTCGCAATTACTTATTGCTGATGGTCTTTTTTCATTTGCTGAAGGTATTGCATTAGTTGGTTCACTAATTGCATTACGTTATGCTAAAGCAGAACGTTTACATTCAAAAAATACATTTGGGTATGTAGAGATTAATTTTTCTTTTTGTTTGTTAAAAAACTAATTATTGTTCTTTGTTTTAGATGGGCACGTTTAGAAATACTTGCTGGTTTATTACAAGAAGTTCTTCTTATATCACTTTCACTTTCAATTATAGTTGATGCTGTTAATAAATTAATTAATCCAAATCATATTGAAAATGCCAATGCAATGATTTTTCTAGGTGGAGCTGGAGTTTTTATTGGTTTTTTAGGTTTAGTTTTATTTCGTGGTTATCATCATGATCATAATATTGGAAATGAAATCGTGGAAAAGAAAAAAGATGATTTTGTTCGAAGTGTTTATACAACATTACGTAATCGTGATGCACCTCAAGAAACTAATGAAGATCTCTTAAGTGAAAAATCCAATCCACCAACTCCTCAACCTATGATTATTCCTGAATTAGTTGTTACTGAATCAACAAATAATATTAATTCTGAACAAAAGAAAAAAAAACAATTATCACATGATTTAATTTTACCATCATTAAATGATACAATTAAAAATTCTTTTATTGTTTCAGAAACAAATCATAAATTAAAAGAAGAACGTATTAGTGATGGTAGTGATCAACAATTACGTGTACCTGATCGTATATCTGTTGAATTTACACGTCAGAGAAGTAAAAGTGGTGATTCTGTTATGTCATCAACATTTGCACTGAATCATATTGGAGCTGATTTAGAAGATGATTTTCAAAAATCACGTGTTTTTGCAACTTTACATGCACTTTCTTTACATTCATTGGTAAATATATAGATAAGCCGGATGTTTTTTGAAGAGTGTTCTGTTATATTCAATTAAATTTTTGTTTTGTATATGTAACAATGAACTGTATAGGAAGGAAAAGGCTATTCTTTGTCATAGACGAACTATGAAAAGTACATCGGATGTTTTTATCCTAAAAAAATCAATTATTTTCAATTGTCTTTGTTTTTTGACAATAGAATTTTATTACTTCGTTCGTATAATTGAAAAATTCCTTTGATTTAAGGCTGTACTTCTCGAATCTTCAATTGTATTATGTTCTGGTTTAATAAATAAATATATTCCAATTGAAGATGAACATGGAAAACAAATCAATTCATGGTTAAAATATATTGATCCATCATTAACATTAGTTATGGTAGTTATTATTGCTATTAAAGCTGTTCCTGTTATATGGTCACTTGGTCATATTCTTGTTGAAGCTGTTCCATCAGGTATAAATACTCGTCAATTAATACAAACAATAATGAAAACAATTCCACAAATACGTGCTGTACATAGTGTACATGTTTGGAGGTATAATTTGATATTCAATTTTTGTAAATTAATCATATAATTGTTTGTTTTTGTAGAGCGACTGCACGAGATATTTTTGCAACATTACATGTTGTTTGTGATGAAGATCTTTCATTGAGTACATGTACAGATTTATTTGGACGACAATTACAACGAATATTTGAAACACATTGTATACGTCATTTTACATTACAATTTGAATATATCGAGCCAGGTGGTAATATGAATAAATGTGCGTATGGTACTCGTCGACGACATCGAGGACATCAGTCGACTTCAGAAGATAATGATAACATAACGATTCAATCACATATTGATTTACATGTCAATTCAATTAAGCCGGATGTCACTGATTTATTACGACGATCTGTTTAAGATGATAAATAGACATGTTTATATCTTTACTTGTGATATATTTATTTCTTTTTTTTTTTCTTACAAACCATTCCAAATCTTATTATTGTTGTTGTTTCTTTTTTATTTTTTTTCTACATATTCTCTAGAAATTTTGTTGTTTTTTTTTTGAAAATGTATAGATAGTGATTAATTTATGAAAAGAAAAATATTATTATATAAATACCGCCGGTGAGAAGAAGTAGAAGAAGAAGAAAATGTTTTTTTTGTGCTTTTATTATTAATAAAAATTGTTTCATTTCATTTTTGACATGAAATATTTGTTTATTGAAAAAGACAATGACAGTTATGATGTCAAGAATTGAAGTATACTAATTAAAAAATACATCCAGATGGTGATTTATTCGGTAATAAAACAGATGTTATATTAAAATTTCATTGCTTAAAAAAAAAGGTTAATTATTTATAAATCAGATCAACCTAATAAAAAATTTATTGTCTAATGTTTTTCTTTAAAAAATAATTACCAATTAAATTAATTATTTATTTAATTTCTATTTTGTGTATATTAGGAAGAAACTCAAGGGATAAAATAATGATTCTCTCGAGAAATTCAATATTCCTAATCAATGCAAAAAGATTGTCTCTATGGATCTCGTCGAACTTAAATTAAAATACAATAATTCTTAAATGTATTTAAATTCAAGTATAGAAATATTCATGCATATAATCAGCATTGACTGAACAAACTAATGTCAATTGCGATTAGTAACGGTCATGTAAATCGATATTGTGAATGTCACATAGAATCTGTTCCAGTAATTTCTATGATTACTAAAGGAAATTTATTTCAGATATATATAATGACTTACATTAAATAACAAATGAGTCTATGCGTTAACTTCGATACTAATGAGAAAAAATATATTTCTTTTGTCTATTGAAAGGACTTAGAATGTAGATAAACACTCATGATTCTATTTTAGGACAAAACGATATGATCTTAAATTGATTTTATCGTGAATATAGCAATCCAGTGTTGCCTATACTTAAAATTGATCGATAATCTCTCTAATAAAAATCTCTTACAGTTAATTAATTTTATATATCAAGGTCATATTAAACTATCTTATCCTGTTACTTTATTTAGAATTATTAATTTAATATAGAACTGAAAAAACATGTTATTATCTATAGAGAAAGATATTTTTATTTTTATCTATCCAGAAATAAGACTACTTTAGTTGGAATATACGAAAATGATATGAAGACCCGAAGGGTTTTATTTCTACTATAAGTTCTAAAATATGAACTTGAACGAAGGTTATTAACTGAAGATGTTCTTTCGAGAATATTAGTTTATAAGACCAATCAAATTATAAATAGAAAAATGTTCTATTCGTTTACTTTAATAAATATTATTATTAATTTCATCATAGAAAAGATACTGTTTTCATTCTATAAAAATCGTAACATCTAATATAAATTTCAGTTCCCTCATATATATCTAAGCAACAAAATATAATTGTTTTAATTTAATTTTCTAAATGTTATTAAACGTTTAGAATTTTTTTTTCTTTTTTTTTTTAATTTCTTCTTTCATATTCGATCGAATCATATGAAATAATAACAACAACAATAAGAATAAATGAAAACAAATTTTGATGATATTGTTCTCGTTGTTGTTGTCTTCTAACGATATCGTCGAAGACTGAGTTGTTGACGACGTTTCCAGCATGTACGACGTGAACCACCAGTTGCAAGTGAATAACGATGACCATGACCAAGTCCTCGTGATTTTCTTCCAGCTGATGTTAAACCACGTAATTCACGGTGTTTCTTATTTGATCGGCAAATCCAGTTAATACGTGCATCACGTCGAATACCTTAAATTACAATATTAATTTTAAACACATCATCATCATCATTATAATATTACCTTTATGACATGGATCAATAAGAATAACTTCATAGAATTTAAATGTTGCATCTTGTGCAATCCAATATGAATTAAGAACACGTAATGTTGGACAACGACGACCAACACGTTCTTCAGCAACGGATTGTAATGAACGTTGAAATTTCAATTGATTGATACCTTGATGTTTTGGTTTACCATAGACTTGACCTTTTGGTACTGGTTTCTTACGTGAACCACGTCGAACACGTACACGATAGATAACCTAGAACAAATAAATAGATACAAATTTTGTGTTTTAAATTAGTAGAATTTTCCTTACATATCCAGCTTTAGCTTTATAACCAACACGTCGAGCTTTTTCTGGTCGTGTAGATTTTGGTGCACGATGTATAGCAGCTAATTGACGATAGTGCCATGTGCGAATACGAAAAATAAAACGCATGACATCACTTTGTTTTTTTCTATAAATTTCTTGAAGATATTTATATGCACCCATGATGTTAGGTTTTTAATCTACAATAGTTTAAGAAAATGAATTTATATTTGATTTATATATATACATAGAGAATTTTTTTTTGTTTTATTCATGAAGTATTTTTGCTAATGAAAGCCATTCTATACTACGAACTATACAATCATTTTTTGTTGTTGAACAATCCAAATTAAAATAAGTTAATTTATCAAATGATGATACAGGTGTTGATGATTTTGTTAAAATACCATTATAATCTTTCGGTATATCAATATATTCACCATTCAATGGTCGACCACGAAATGATGCTTCTAATTTATTATTATTATCGTTATTCACGTGAATTGAATTTGTAAAATGACGTTTAATATCACTTGTAATTGTTGATGGAATATCAATTGAAAATGGCATAGAATAAACATTTGAAGACATTTTCTCTTATCTAAATATGAAATAAACAATTTTTTATATTACTATTTTTAATCAGTTAATTGTGTTAATTTTTCAAGATAATTTATTAAAATATCTTCATTACAATATTTGCGTAAAATATTTGATGGAACAAATTCATAATCATCACATAATTCATATTCAACAAGATACATTAAGTCATTTTCGTCAATATTTACACGTTTTAGTCCATGTATATGTTTTAATTTATAACCACGTTCAATACCATACGATAAAGATTTTGGTTCAGTTAAAACAAGAATCGGTGCACGATGTTTTAAAGTTGTTGTTGTAGTTCGATTTGTACGAACTTGATAAGAATTATTTTGAGATTTTGGTGTAATAACTGATTCAATTTTAACATCATCATCATCGGAAAGTACAATTATATCATCAGAAGATTCAGTCATTTCATTTGTTTTGTTTTACACTTGACAATAATTGATACGAGATGAAATAAACAATATAGAACTTAAATGGATTATTTCCATAATTTAACATTTTTCGAAATATTTTAAAATGAATATTATAATTTAAAAATTAATTAATTAATAGATATTTTATAATATTAATTAGAGAAAAATATTGAAAGATTTTCGATTTATAAAAACAAATTTTTTATTTTGGAGGTTAATTTTAGTCGAAAGAGGGCGTTAGTGTCTGATTAAAAATGAACATCATGATTTTCTAATTTAATTTCTATTAAAATTATTGAATACGAATGATATATTTATTTCGAAAACTGTTTTTCTTTGTTTCGTCATTGTCTTCCAAAAAATCAAAAATTCCCACTCTGCGAATTTTTTTCAAAAAACTTCCCCATAGTTTTCCGAAATTTCCTTGAAAAACACAATTTTTCCTTCCCGCGCGGGGGCGCACGAGGAGGATTCTACACCTTTGTGTAATACTAATTTTCTATTACCGTTTCAATATTTCTAATACCTGCCATGCACATTTCCGTCCTTCTCTCTCTCTCTCTATAGATGAAAATATTGAATTTGTCATTGACATAGAATAGTAAGGAAAAAGAAACAGAAGAAGCAAAAAAAAAAGTAATTCTCATTATACGCTCGATCTTATATAAACGCAAACAGATGCAGACATATATATTATTTTCTAATATTGCTCTATCGTTGAGTCTCATGAGAACCGGTAGTTGTATTCAATTTATTATTTACTCACACTGCCATTTCTTTTACTTTATATTTTTTAAGAGATCCATATTATTGACAAAGTATACGATGGAAAAACATATACATTTTATGTTTCTAATGTTTACTAGTTTATTCTTTAGAAAACAAGAAATATACTAAATATTCAAGGTAGAGAAGAGAGAGAGAGAGAGAGTTATTCGTCATCTTAACTTTTTTTCTTCCCCTAGATGACATTTTTTAAAAAATACAAAATTTCCTTTTTTTTTTCTCTATTAGTTTTTGTAGAATAAATGAATCTATATGCAGAAAAAAGAAAATGTTTATACTCAAACAATTGTGAAACAAAAACACACGACACTTAATTACAAAATCGTATATAGTTTAACAATTGATCGATGATTATATGGTAATGTTGATAAATATTCATAACGACAGCTATTATCATCTTCAAAATGATACTTCATTAGCAATTTTATGTGCAAATATGTCGTCTAATAATAGGACATATGAAAACTGTACAAATGAATATAATTTATCTACGCAATCATCAACTCTAACAGATAATATTTTACCAAATTCACTTGTTATTATATTTGTTTTATCAATCTTATCTTTATTTGGTGTTTGTTTTATGATATTTGGTCCATTACAAAGATCTGAAGCTTATAAACGTGTAGAAAATTTTACATTTGGTCGACATCCAATATTTAATGTTGATCATCGTGAAGCATCAATTTCTCATCGTTATGATGAATCAATGGAATTTGCAGATGAATAATAAATAAATAATCTTTTTCTCTTTTTATTCGTTATGAAAATAAAAATAAATTATTTTTTAAAAAATGAATGATTTAAATATTGTCGACAACGATTAGAATTAAGTTCACAATTAGCTGTAGTAATATCTTGTTGAATAGCACTAGTCAATTCATCTAAACAAACAATAGAGTCAATTCAAAGCAAAAGAAAATTTTAACGAGAAGCAATCATTTAGAAATATGTTTTTACAAGATTTTCTAATAGAAAATGACTCATTATATATATATATTTACATATATGTCTGCTAGCAACTAAAAAAAACACTTAATTAACAAAAACATGCTATTATGCTTAAATAAACATGCAACAATTTCCGAATCTTTAAGCGATTAATATTATATAAATATTGTTTTGTGTTAATGATTATTTTATTCAATCGAAAAGTAATATTTCGATTAAAAATACTATTATTTGTTAATATTATTTCGACTCCGCGCTATTAGAATATAATTGAATTTGTCTAGAAAAACGATTATTTTTTAGATCGATAATTTCATCATTTCCGTCTCTTTAAATTATAATGAAGAAAAACTAAATGTACTATTATAATTTTTTAAAGTAAAATATTACATACTTAAATTTTGAAAAGTTTTCATTGGACGGATTTTACCAAGAAGAACAATTTTTAGTTGTTCACCATAGAAATCATTTGCGAATTCATTCATTATATGTGTTTCCTAACATTAAACATATTAAAAATAAAAAAATCTCGTTTTATCAAAACATACTATTGTCTTTTTTTCATTATTATAAAAAGGATTTGTTCCTATACTCGTTACCATTTTATAAATTTCATGATTTGTTTTTGTTAATAATTGTGCCCATCCATAATAAACACCTTCATCAATGGTTGTTGGTAAATTCTCTACTGTAGTTTCATCTAAATTAGCTAGAATTAAAATGACAAAATATAAATTTAAAAACTTGCCTCTTTAGAAATACCTGTTGGACAAGCAAGTTCTTTACTTCCACGTCCAAAACCACGTACAATAGTTCCAAGAGTAAAATATGGAAATGGAGATTTTAACATTATCTGAAAATTAGTATCAAGTAGTTGATAGATCGAATATGATTTAATAAATAAGCAAAAACAACAAAAATACAATACAACAAAAACAAAAAAAGACAAAATTTTTTATTTATATATATAAAGATTTAATTTTGATGACTTGGTAATGTATCTTCTCGAGTTAATATTTGATAAACACCTGGTTTCATCCATGATAAACCATGAATATTATCAAATGCTTTCTGTAAATATAAAAACAAAAAAATAAATATTTTTTTTTCTTTTTTTAGCAAAACAAAAAAAATCATAACATGCTAGATAATTAAAAACAAACCATATTAAGTCTTTAGAATTAACTAATAATTGCAAAGACATAAGCATTAATTTTTTTTTATTAAATAAGCAACAGAATTTTTTTTAGTCATATTTTTTTTTCTTTTCAATAAATCATAAAAGAACGTGCACATGCATTCTAGACGCTTACATGAAGTGCTATCCTCCTTTTGATTGGTATCAGTATTAGAAAATGTTTTCTGATTAAATGGAAGATAATATACGAAATAGAACAATTAGATTTATTTACCTTTTTTCCAGTTAATAGAAGTTGCCGAACATTTTGTAATTTATCACTCCATGGAGTAAATCTACAATGAAAGTCATGTTCAATAGATAAAACTTTATTTCTTAGAAATAACTTACAGTATAGCATGTGGATCGTCTGTAGTTGATGGTTCAGGAGTATAAAGGTTATCTTTTGATTGATTGACACATTCAGATATTTTTGAAAGAAAAATTCCTGGATCTTGTTCATATCTTTAGAAAAAAATAAATATGGATTAGTTTTTTCTTTTAGTGACATCTTACAAATTAGCTGCGTCGACATTGACGGAATTTGTTGTTTCTATTTTTTGAAAAATACGTCGAATATAACGTAATACTTGCCAAAGATGATGTCCATTACGTCTAAAAATGTTATTATAGTAAATAAGAAATTATTAATTTTTGAAAAACTTACTTCCATACTGGAAAATATCGTTTAATATCGAGTTCACCTGTATCTACATTGATTTGCGGATGATATATTGATGACATAAAAATAACTTTCTAAACAAAAAAAATTATTTTCATAAAAGCAAAGAAAATCTTGGACAGAAAAAAAACGTGAACATACTGGACAGTCGCCATCAGGAAATGTAGGTGGTATAATTATTGAAAAACGGAAAACACCACCTTCGTACGGACCTTGTGAAACAAAATGAACACCATTCCATACTAAAAAAAATAATCAATCATTATCATTAATCTTCGAATAAAAAATAGATCATACTTAAATTTGATTTTCCAGATGGAATAACAATAATACCAGGTATAAATTGTTTTCGTAGAAGATTACTAAATGAATTTTATAATAATATTTATTTTTTTGTTTTAAATTTTCTCTTTTTACTATTCTGCTTGAAGAATATAATCAAGTGCGTATTCATTTTTTTCCATTGTATTAGAATGATAGGTGATTTAATTACATTCTAAAAATATTACGAGGTATAAGTCAAGGTATGATATAATCAAATAATTATTCCTGCCTGTCTAAATACGATGATTTCTATTGGTTTGTAATATTCAATCAATAGGTGAATTTACGAAAGAGGTCATCATGTGTCAAATAAATTTATATTGTAAAAACTCGAAATTATGTTTTCTAGAGTATGGCGTGATTTTTATATTAGAAGAAAAGAATATATTTATGATAATTATATAATAAGTAAATGATTTTATTAAAACACATCATTGTTCAATATTTTTTTGTTGATTGACGAGTTGTTGCTGAAAAAAAGACACGAATATACAATATAAAAAACAGTATACAAAGTATCATCATAAATAAAGCAATAGAAAGTATAGCAATTAAAAGTTTATCTTGTATTTTTTGTGCACCCGTACGATCAGTTATATGGAAATCATTCTGTACACTATTACCAATCAAACCAATAAGAACAATAGTAAAAAAGAATGCTAAAGTAACAGCTAATAATGCAAATGTAGCAGCAATACGTTTGTTTCGGACACATACTATAGTATATAAACAAAAGATATAGTTTGAACTCCTTTTTTTGTTTTACTTACTAATTGCAAGAATAAATATAGCAGCAAAGAAAGATACAGATCCACTCCAAATACCTGCACCAACTTTTCCTGGTCCTGAACCTAATTTTGAAGTTCCATTATGTTTACTTCCTTCAATAGCTACATTAGCAATATCAAGACTAATAATAGCTGCACTACAAATAAGCATTGTAATCGATAAAATTGCTGTTCTAATACGTGGCCATGTATTATACCAATTGATATCTAATAAAGGTGGTTGATATGATACATTTCCATAAGACGGAACAGTATACGGAGATGTATTATACAAGTAAGGCACTGGTCGTTGATGTCCATGCATTATTTAATTCTATAGATTTCAATTTATTCTGACACAGATGTGTTAATGTTTCATTGATAGAATAAATATCAAATGACAAACTATTTCTATCATTATTACAACTACTATCATATCAAATATTTAACATAGACAATCAAATCAAAGTAAATAATCATATTATTACGTCTCGAGTATTCTTTTTTTTTTTGATTGAAGCAATAGATTGACAAAATTATAACTGTCAATCTATTGATATTTTTGTAGATTACGTATTTTAACAAAGAATAAAACTTTTCTTATGTGAATAGCTCATTGAAATTTCTAAATATACATATTTAATATTTATTTTAATGAATGTTAATACCTAAATGTATACATGCCAATTTTATCTATCATGAATAGATCTTGTATACTCTTAAAGTAATCATTTACTTCAAGGATATATATTCAATAAATTATCGTTACATAATTTAGTAATAGTATTATCATAAATATCAATATTCAATTCTTTGAGATATCTTGTAAGTATCAATTGATATATTTTTCTTCGCTTACTATTGTTTATATTCTTTTTTTTTACTATTGAAAATGAAGATTCTCACCGATGCAAATACATGAAAAAAAATACGCTCATAATTGACGCATACTAACAGATAATGTACGAGAAATATATGGTCTTGTTGGTAATGTTGGTGTTTGTTGATGTTTTTGTATTTGATCTGTATTAATTGTTAATAATTCTTGTTGTTTAATAATACATCGACATTGACAATCTTTTTCAGGACAATATCGATGTTTAGAATCTGGTGATGAAAACCATTCATGAATATGTAATAAATGTCCGCCATGAGCACATATTGCACATAAAAAATATTGACCAACAACTGGTTGTAAACAAATTGAACAAATAATTATTGATGATATTTGATTTATTAATGTTGGTGATTGACAATTATGATCAATTTTTTGTAAAATTTGTGTACGTTTATAAAAATGTTTCCAACGATGTAACAAACTTGCATACGAATATAATACTGGATCATAATGATGTTCATTAATATTAGTTTTTTTCATAAATGGAGTTTTTAACATTGTTAATAGAAACATACTAGCTGATTGAATATCACCATTAGTTATATAATGAGAAACTATATGTTTAATTAAACCTAAACAAAAAATATTTTAAACGTTATATTCAGAAATAATTATTTTATTCTAATATTTTCACTATGGATGTACTGAGCCCCTCGGACTTGATCAAGGCTCGGGTGTGGCAGTGGGTGGGTGGGTGAAAGTCAAAAGGATAGTGCCCACACTCACACTCTCATCCACACCCACAACCCACCCTCGGTGCATCCCTAAGTTTTACCTTGAGCAATTGGTGTTTGAAACCATGTATGATTATCATCTGATAAATTTTGTTGTAAAGTTAATAAACCGGCAAGTAAACGCCAACAATGAGATAATTCATATTTAGCCATTTTTTTTGTTAATTGTTGATTTATTTGACACATATCAATTAAATGTTTTAAATTAAGTTTATAATCATCAGCTAATTTTCTACTAACAGGTAAAAGTATTGATACATCATAAACAGATACTGTTGATTGATTTTGTGATAAATGATGATTAAATGAACGACGAAATGATGTTGATACACGTTGATGATCACTTACTGTACTTGAACCTAATGATGAACGTAATGGAGCAGAAAACATTGTTGTTCGTGGATTAGTTGAGACATGTTGAATTTGTACTGTATTTGTTATTATTGTTGTTGATGATCGGTAACTTGAAATAAAATAAAAGAATATAATAAATGAAGACACAAAAATTTACCTTGATGGTTGCTCATCCGTACCAGAATTTCCTCGACTTTTCGATACTGTTAAACTAGTAGATCGTGTATGAAATGGTGACGGTCGAGTCATTGATCCATCATTTAAATTATTAATAATTGGCGGTGCAGATGTTGGCTGTTGTTGTTGTTGCTGCTGTTGAGAATGATTTAATGTTCGACCAAAACATATTAAATATGTTCCACCAGCAAAACGAGCTCCACATGTACGTGGATTAGATCGAACAGATGAACTATTTACTCTATGAGTATCATTCATATGTGTTGATGATAATGCTACTTGATCAAATATTCGATTCGAATTATTATGATTATTATTATTATTATTGCCATTAATTCCATTTAATAAATCAAATTGTAAATGATGTGATGATTGTTCTTGATTTTTTTTATTTATTTTATTTTTAATAATATTTGACGAAATTTTTTCTTGTTTATAATATGAATAAAATAAATGTTTTAATTTAACTGCACATATATGTAAACATAATTGTCCCGAATAAAAACATTTATATGATGTTTGATCAAATATTGTTTGTATACGTGTATGAAAAGTTTTCAAACGTTCATCATTATTATTCGTTATTGTCGAAAATTTAAAACGTATAAATAATTGTGATACAATTGGATAATGACGTGATAGAAATAAATAAATACGAAATATTCCACAATTATCAAATGGATAAATACAACGAAGTATACACATACGACGTTCATCATCTTTATATTCAACAATAATATATGGACCATATGTATCATGTAAAGAATTAAATTCATTTTCAATTGAAACTTCTTTTGTTATATAATCAGAATTTATCGATATATCGTTTTCATCACCTGTCTCCGATGATGCTATACTATTAACTTGTGGTGATAATATTTCCGGAAATGTATTATCATCTAAATCACTTTCATCAATATCAGTTGTTTCATCCTCAATAATATCCATGGTTGATTTATGACGATGAATTTGTTCTTGTTGTCGTGATAAATCTGATAATGATTTTGGTATATCGGATTGATTTCTTTTATTTGTTCGTGTATAATCATGCCATGTTTGTCGAAATGTTAAATCCATATCTATTAAACGTAATTGTTCATCACGACACCAAGCTAGAATAGGAAAATGTTTTGTTACATCATCATTTGTACGTGATACAATCAATTGATTAAATAAATTAAATAATTTCGAATTTGTTACAAAAGTAAAATCATTAATTATTGATGGACTTGTCGATAATATACGATCGGTTAATGGTCTTAAATAATGATCTTCATCCCAACGCCAACCAGTAAAACCATATGTTGATGATAGTGTATCACGAGATGCACAAATAAATAAACTATCATAAGTTGTTGTTTTAATCTAAAGTATAATTAAAAAATATATCGTCATTTTTCTTTATTAATTATTACTTTGCTTAATGTAAATGGTAATTGTTCATTGGATAGAGATTGCGCTAATAATTGTCCAGTTGTTGAAAATATTCTCAATGAATTATCCATAGAAAGTGTAGCAATTGAATGATTTTGTTTTGTCCAATCCATACTTATTATACGTTGAGAATGTTCAGTTGAACTTAAATATGTATCTGTACGACGCATATCATATATTCTTACACATCGATCACATTGTATAGCTAATTGATTCGAATTATTTATTTCCGTTGATGACCATTGTATATTACGAATACTAAATGGAGTTGATAATGTTAATTTTAAATTTGCTGGTGCTTTCGATGAACAATGTCGAATATCCCATATTTGTACTTGACCATCAAGTGAACCCGTTAGAAAACAATAGGGATCATTAGGCCAGTGAGATATTGTTGATATAGGACGCTATAAAGAAGAAATAAAATGTCATTTTAAATTTCTCTTGTATTTGTCTATAATCGTTAGATAGGAAAGGAAAAAATAACTTAGTCTTTATAAGCGTCGGTGGTGTAACGGTTAGCATGGTTGCCTTCCAAGCAGCCGACCCGGGTTCGACTCCCGGCCGACGCACTGTTCTCTTTTTTTTTTGTACCTGATGTTGAGTATCAATAATTGAACTTGTTTCATGTATACGACCATGATCAATAGTATAGAAACGAACGAGACGATCAACAGCTAATGCATATTGATTTGAATCTTGATAATTCCATTGAACAATAGGTCGATTAACATTACATATATCAAATAAAGGTAATGATACTATCTCAGATGAACATGGTATTAATATTGAATTATCATCCGCAATTGTATTAATATTCGATTGAAAAGATGATTCAAAATTAATAAATTGAAGTTCATGATTTCCAATAAGTAAAACATAATTTTGATTTTCATTGAATTCTATTGAATGACAATCAAAATTTGAAAGATTTTTTCCAAAATCAAATGTAACTGATACATCTGATGATAGATCATTATTTTGTTCATACAACATTATCTGCAAACATGAGATTTTATTTGACAAAAAATAAATCAACTAGAAATTTATATATATGTATATATTTATTTTTTATTCAAAAACTAAACATAATATGTATATAACTTTTAAAATTGATATCTTTTAAGATGATCTTCAGGTTTAATGTCTGTATAAATTATATTTGTTTCTTGATTATTTGCTGAATGAAAGAGACCACTTATTAAACTTCGTCCACCTGTTGTTTCAACTTTTTGTAATTTAACTGATCTACTACTTATTGATTCATTTGTAAATGGTGTATGAAAAAGATTTTCTTGTGCAGTTAATAGAACTTGATTACCACTTTCGATTAAACCTTGTTCATGAGCAGCAGCTAATTGATTAACAACAGAACGTTCTACCTAAAAAAATAAAAATCTATCTTTATGTTGAAATTAAATAAAATTTCACTTCATGTTTAAGTGATCGAGCTCCATAATTAATATCATAACCATCAGCTAAACAATCAAGAGCTTTACGATCCCAAATAATATCAATATTATGTTGGTCTTTAGCCTTTAAGAATACAAAATATAAAAATTAATTTCTTTATAATCTTAATAAATTTTACTCGTTTTTTCCAAAATTCAAGTTCTTTAAGAAGTAATTTATTGATTTCACTTTTTGAAAATGGTAAAAAATAAACCATTTCATTAATACGTCCAAGAAATTCATCACGACGAAAATGTTTCTAATATATATTTCTTTATTATTAAATTATAATTCATTTCGAATAATTATTTACTTTTAATATTGGTTTAACAACTTTATCTTTGAATTGTTTCGATACAGTTATGCGAGTTTTTCCTTCATCATCTTGCTGTTGATCAGTATTATCTATATAAAAAATTTTATTAACAATTAAATCTTCAATCTTAAGATTAAAATTTAGTGATATAAATTCAATTTTAACCCTTGTCTAAGTTTTCGCAAAAACTATCTGAAACCTGTAATCCTCTGTTTTTGATTGTTTGCTTGATTGTATGTCCACAAGGTCAAAAAAACATCGAAAACACATTTCTAGAGGTATTTTGATGCAAGGACTTCGAATCTGATGTTAGTTTTTAGAAATTTTTTTACACAAAAAGCTTTTTTATAAGGGTTGACCGAATGGTTATTAAGATCGTAGAATTCCAATCTGAAGTCAGTTTTTGAAATTGTTTGAATACATAGTTTACTGGTAGCGGAGACATATCGGTTCTACGAGAAAGAGCTGAGCGAGTCCCCAGACGAGCGTTACTTGTAGATACTCTGGACTATACTGAATCGATTGGTGATGCTCAAGATAAATAAGCACACAGTTACAAGCTACAATTTGTCGAAAAACTTGAAACTCGTAAACTTCAAATTTGGAGCTCACTTATCTTGATCAATGAATCTAAATTTTTCCTACCTGACGGAATTGTTGTATTAATTAATGATGGTTTCTTTTCTTCTTCTCTTCTTAAATCTTGTGCATAATTTGCAATTTCTTCGCTAGCTAAATTCGATGTCATAACATATATTGCTTGTTTACCATCAATTGTTTTTCCTTTTCCATCAGTTAATCGTCCCTAATAAAATATTTCCCTTAAAATTTTTCCTAATAATTTTTTGTTTTACTTCATCAAATAATTGTAACATAACTGTTAAAACATCAGGATGAGCTTTATCCACTTCATCAAAAAGTACAACAGCTGTTGGACATTTTGTTAATAAATCAGTTAATTGTCCACCTTCTTGATATCCAACCTAAAAAAACGAAATCAAAATTTTTAATTAACTTATTAATTATTTTTTAATCAAACTTTCATATCCAGGTGGTGCACCAATTAATTTTGATACTTCATGTTTTTCTTGATATTCACTCATATCAATACGTATAAAACATCGTGTTTGATTTTTTTCTCCATTTAAATATTTAGCTATTTGTTTAGCTAATTCAGTTTTACCAACACCAGATGAACCAAGAAAAAGAAATACTAATGGTGATTCATCACTTGTCCAACCAGATTCTTTTCGACGTATAGCTAAAAAGACAAACGAAATTTTATTATTTAGTTTTCCTTCAGCAAAAAAAAACAACTAAACTAACCAGCACAAACGGTTAATATAGCATAATTTTGACCTACAATATGTTCTTTTATTCGAAGTTCAAGTGGTCTTCGTCGTCTTTCAGTTTTAAGTCTTTCATCATGTGATTTTTTTGCCTTAAAAAATATTATTTATTTATTATAAAATTTCATAATAGAAACAAACATTTCTTTCATATTGATTTAATAATTCTTTACGTTGTTGTAATCCATATGCAGACGGTAAATGTCCTTGTTCATTTTCAATTAACGGATCAGCACCATGTTCAATCAAAATATTAATTAAAGGTATATTATCATTTAATACAGCGTAATGAAGTGCGGTAAAACCATTAAATGTTGCTTTGTGTGATAAACGATCACAAAATTCTTCTTCTCGTTTTGTATGAACTAAATTTATATGATAGAAGACGAGGACTTTCTTTATGTATATTTACCTTCTACAGGACGCCAATGAAGTTTTTTTGCCATTGATTGAACATTAGTAAATTCATCTGATTGATTTGGATCAGCACCTTTTGAAAGTAAATATTTGACACAATCAATTTTATTATTTATAACAGCAACAAGAAGAGGTGTCCAACCAAGTGGATGTCGTAGATTAACATCAAGTTTATCTTGTTCAATTAATCTAATAGAAATAAAATAAATTTTTTATAATGAACATTTATTTTATACTTTTGAAGAATATCTAATTGACCATCATGAGCAGCTTGAAAAAATTGTTTTTCTAAAAATTAACAATGAGTTTTGTTTATAAAAACAAAGGATATAAGACATTTATACCAATTGGAGATTGATCTTTTTCAAGTGCTTTTGCATGAACAATAAATGACTGAGTTAATTTATCAAATGATGATAGTTTATAAATAATTGTACTAGTTACAGTCGCTGTAGCTAATGAAGTTAGAAGAAGATGATTATTTCGAAATGAATATCGAATATTAGATGAAGATAATAGAAGTAAACGACGAAAACTACGAAAGAAATATCTTGAAGTCATCTAAAAATTGATAGATACATTAGTTTTTCAATTCCAATTTAGATGAGATTTTTGCTTAAAAATCAATGAGAATCAATGGATGGGTATGAAGAGCAAAACAGATTGATTTCTCAGAGAGGTCGCTCTGACACAATTACAAATTATGTTTATACAAAATCGTCTACTAATGAGATGAGAAATATATTAATTAGATTAAACTTTTTTTTCGTTACATAGTAAACAAATTAATCTTTAGACTTTATAAGAAAAATTTTATTTATTTTTGAATTTCGAAAAATATATATAATTTTAACCAACTACAGTTGAACCATTTGGAAGTATAGCACCTTGTAAACTTTGCACTTTATCTAATTGTTCTTGTGTAATTTTTGCGCCATATAAATTCGTATAATTAAAAATAATTTGTGTAACATCTGTATTTGTCCAGTCGGTTTTTTGTAATGATGTATAACTAAAATCTGCATACGAACAATTTGAATCGAGAAATAATGAATTATCTAATATTGAATATGAAAAATTACTCTGATATAAATAGATATTTTTTAATAATAAATTTTCTGCTTGAATATTAGTAAATTTTAATTGATTATAAAATGATCCTTGTGGAAAAATTAATGATGATAAATCTGTATAAGATATATTAATACGATATTGAATACCACTATCAATCAATAATTGTCTAAGAAATACTTTTCTTATTGGATCAAGTTGTCTTAACGTATGGAATGTTTTTGTACGAATAATTAATGAAATACGTTTATCAGTCGAATTTTTAAATAAATTATATTTAAAAATAAGATTAGTTAAATCTTGTTGATAAGTATTTAATATAATTTGTTGTTGTTGATCATGTAATGATTCCATACTTGTTAAACGATGATTAAATGCTGATATTCGAGAATGTTCAATATGATCTTCATTCAAATCTTCTTGTTGTAATGGAAGAACAATTGCTAATATACCAATAATAAGTGGAATAAATAAATTTGAAATTAAACTAATCCAGTCAGAAAATGAATGATTTAAATATTTTCGATGGAATATATTTTTAAGCATAAGAAAGATTTTATCTTTATTCAAAAACCAATAAATTTATTGAAAACAATCGCATTTTATATTGTATTATGACATTTTATAGTTTATTGCTTTTTTTTTGTTTTTGATGAATGAAAAGGGCACAAGTACTTCATAAAAATAATTGTAAACGAAAATAAATCATAATTTGTAATTAACAATCACATTCACAATCGCAACAAGCACATTCATCAGGACAGCAATTACAACTATCATTATCGTTAATAAAACAACAACATAAACATCGAAAAAAATCCTCACATGCACTATAGTTATTTAAACGGATTGGCGATACGTGTGTACCATGTCTTTTTCTTGTGTCATAGGATTCTTCTGTTTCTCGTAGTATATTCGGTTGTTTTATCACTCGATATTGATTTGTTTCAGATGTATCAGCCATAATTGATAATACACAATCGATTTTAATAATAAGAAGAAAAATTCAATATGGTGAATTATCGTAAAAATGACGGTCTGATAATATATACTTCTAAGAGTGTGGGTGGGCGGAAGGTGTGACGTTTTGACGAAACAAGAAGTAACCATCAATATATATATCGTTTCTTTTTAGTCACCTATTAAATGACAAGTAAATAATGATGACGATAGATATACTCAAAACAAATGGATTATGAAAAAAAACCTTTTGTATTTTAGATGATTGTTTGAATAGATTATTTCGAATGTCATATTTCTTTTTCGAAATATGAATCAATAGCTTGTATATCCACCCACACCTTATTAATCATTAATAACATAACTTTACCGATATATTTAGATTCTGTACATCTAAACAATGTCAAATGAGTAAAAAATATTGTCTTTTATACTATACGAATTGTTGTCGTATAAATTAAATATAATCAAAGTGAAAACATTTGTTTCTAATGTACATATCTATGCTTTATTAATAATTACATCTTATAATTTCAAAAAAAATTCATTAAACAAAGAGATCAGAAAAAATATGTTAATTAAAATAGTTTATATTTATAATGTTCTCCTAATTTTTCATCTTGTTTTGTAAGTAAACCAAATAATTCACATTCATCTCGACATATTTGTGATGCTTTTTCATTATGTTCAAGTTGTTTTCTTAACTTACAATCTTCTTGACAATCTAGAGACATTTCATAAGTTTGATCAATCATAACAAATAATATGATGAGTATTGTTATATAAACTAAAATATTAATTCTTTATGAAAAATTCATGTCATTTTTTTTTTAGAAAAAAATCATCCTTACGAAAACTTCGTTTATTTGCCATATGTTTATTCAATAATTGAAGGATAGATAATGAATAACAACGTGTATTCATATGAATATTTATATATAGATAGATGAATGAGTTTATCTTATATATACTTGAAAATTTTTATCTTATTGATATGTGTGTTCTCTCACTTGATATCATTGTTGATAAACCGTTTTGTTCTACTTATATTTCAAAACTTATTCAATTAATCGATCAATCAACAAGTTTTTGAAGAAGGTGTCATTGAATATTTCTGTTGTTTTCTAGTAACCAAGTGATTGTTCGATTAATTCAATAGGATTAAATATCTTCTAGATTGTTTGCTATGTTTATTAAATTTCCATCAAAAAAAAAAAAAAAGAAGAGGCGAACACATCAATAACACTCTTAGTATTCGATGCTATTTATCAAAAGTACTTCATCAACGGTAAACTTGAAAGGCAAAAACTCAAATTCGTATTCTTTTCTTTCTTTACAAATAACAACGAATCGAACTTGTATAAATAAACGAGAGGTAGAGAGAGAAAAAAAATGCAAACTATCATGAAGTATTGAAAAAAAAGGAAGACATAGAAAAGGTATTCTGTTTCTTAGCTTGTGCCTCAAGAGAACTTTAAAAAAATAGAAAAAAAAGAAATATTTGTATATGTATGTGTGTCTATGCATCAAGTTGTTAGGAGGAGGAGAAACATGGCATTCATTCATAATTCAACCGACAACGACGATTTGCTTTTCTTTTTCTTTTCAGAAACAAAAAAAAGAAAATATTTTATCCATAGATCAACATTTGTAATTGAAAAAAACAACGAACGACTATAAAATGCTTCAATTACATGGTGAAAATGAACATTTTGGTTCATTACCAAGTCTTCGGACACATGATCATCCGCGTCTTAGTATTATAACAACTGATCGTCCTGATTCTTCACAAGTATTGTTAAACATATAATTTAGCAAAAAACATGAATTTGTTTTTATAGCTTGTTGATTTACACATCTATATTGTCCCAAAAAAAGTATGGAAAGATGTTCAACGTTTAGCTACAAATGAAGCAATGGAAGATGCTGTATCAGCTGGTTTTGTTCGGTAACAAAAAAAAGCAAAGGCATAGAAATATGATTTAATTTTTATTAATTATCTAGTGTACCACCAAATATGACAATACGTGAATTACGTAAAACAATTGAAGTTTTATGTGCAAAAGATAGTTATTTTCCACAAGATTATATTTATCTTCGATCTGTTGGTAGATCTATGACAAAAGTTAAATCAAAACAAGAAGATGAATTAAGAGTTAAAAACTATCGTCCACCACAGGTAAGACATGAGCTTCTTTTTCTTTTTGTTTTTCAATTGCAAAACTAATCGATCAATCTATTTGTTATTTTAGACATTTGCACCTGAGGTAAGCAAATATTTTTTTCTTTGAAAAAAAAATGTTATTTCTTTTCTATTAGATCTATTTACTTGAAGGTCGACAAGAAGATTACGCACCACCTGTAAGTGTTTCACCATCAAATTTATCAATTTGTGATCTATGCGGTAATCATCATGGTAGTGGTGAACATCATGATAATGATCCTTCTGAATATAATAAACCTCGTCATACTCTTAATGATCTTGGACGATCACCATCAAGACTTACTCAAAATTATCAACGACAACCAGTACAAGGTGGAAGAAATTATGGTTCAAATGAACCAGTAGAAAGACAAAGTTACACTAAATTACCACAAATGCGTTCGGGTAATTTACATTTAATAAAATATTAAATAAATAAAGTTTTTTTTTCTTGTTCTTTTAGATCCCGAAGACTCATCAACACAGTAAGTAGAAGGAGAATGATAGTTATAAAAAAGAAATTCATTTTCATCCAATAAATAAAGTAAAAGAATGATCACCTTCCTTCTAGCCTATCTGATGGACCAAGTTCTGGATCGAGGTATAAACATAAATTCGTTGTTGTTGTTGTTGTTGTTGTTTTCCTTCATATCACATAAATAACTAATCATTGTGATTTGTTTTAATTGATCTATGAATCTCTATATATTGATAATTGAAAAGATCTTTTTGATTTCTATTCAGTAATTTATCGAAATTAAAAGAAGAACAAGAACGTCTTCGTCGACGTCAAGCTGAACTTGAACGAATGCGTCGAGCAGCTGAACAAAAAAAGGCGCAAACGGATCGTAGTGATGGAGATCGTTCTCGATCCGATGCCGAAGACGAAGCTCCTAAGAGAGCTCACGCATCTTCTTTTCGTGGATATAATGATCGTCAAGTACTTCAAGAACAAAAACGAAAGTAAGTTCTCATTTCTTTTTCAATAAATAAAAAGAAAAAAGTCTATATCATCAGTTCTATAAGCGTTTTATCATTATTCCCAGCACTAGGTCACTTTCAGGTTACATCGCACTTTATTTAGCATTAAAATAAAATTTATTAAGGTAGGCATTTTCTATCGACAGTTCGCATGAATTCTTACTCTTAAATATATATATATAGATATTGAATATATTCACGATGTTAAAAATTGTTATGAGAAAAATAATTGTTAATTTTGTGCATGATTCTTTAGTGTGTAGTTTTTCATTTTCTATTTGTTAATACATCGATAAAAAGAATTGAAAATTATCATTCATATTTATTTCAACGGTTAGTCTTATTATTATGAAATCTGTATCTTTTGTATTGTTTTGTCATTCTGTGTGTATTTGATCGCATGATTATATATATTTGCACGACATTCTTCTCATATTTTCACTGATTACTTAGTACAAACAGTCTTGAACGTACGAGAAAACCTGAAGAAAAAAAAGTAACAATCAAAAGTCAAACACCACGTCCAGAATTACGACCACGACCATCACTTAAAGCAACACCTTCGTTAACCAAACAGTAAGATGATTGTACTGTTTGTTAATTCACTTAATCTTTTATTAAAAACAAATATTTACATGCATTTAATTCATAATTTCTTATGATCGTTTTCCTAAAATTCAATTCATTATTTCAGTGATGAACCAAAACCATCAAATTTAAAACGTACAAGATTAGGTGGCAATAATAACGATCATGAAAATGCACGACATGAAACGTATGCGTCTTCTTTTTTATTAAGATTTAGTTTTAATCCTAATATTATTTCATTTATATATATAATTTATAAGCACATCAGTTTATTAGATTGGATATTTTACAAAACAATCTAATAGAACTGAATTAGATGTTCCGTTTTTTTTCGTCACACTAATATTATCACATTCTATAATAGTTAATATCACTTGTAGATCGTTTTCAACATTTAGAATAACTATTTTTTGTTAGAAATAGAAACAAATCAATTCAACATGTTAATTTATTAGCTAAAATTTATTCGATATTATTTTTGAGAATTTATTCATCATAATCTATACTAAGGATGATGACATGCGAAATTATTTAGCTTGATGATTGATATTCTCGTTGGTAATATCTATCATGGTCTGTAGAGACCGGAAACATGCATTGAACATCTTTGTCCCCTATACTTCAATCATCCTTTTAGTTCGTTTTTATCAACAGAACGTTCCGAAACTAATCGTTCAAATTCGGTATCACCAATATCAATAAAAACTCCAAGAACAGCTAGTCAATCAGATTCATTAATATTATCGAAAACTAAAGACATAATTGGTACACCAATCGATTCACCTATTTATCAATTATCAAGAAATGAAACTATAGATCATAGTGATGATGAACAACATATTTCAATTAAGTTTACTAACAAATCTCCATCAAGATCAACGCCTGAAATGACGGCTGAGGAGAAAATAATTAATGCTGAGTGAGTAATTATGATTTACTATCTGTAAATCTTATCGAATATAAATATCCTATCAAACAAGTATATGTGTAAATTCTTCTCCGTGTGTGTATTTGTGTTTTAACTAATCATTTCGTTTGATTACTAAATATATGTTTGTGTATTTATTTTAATTATTAACCTTAAAACATAATGAATTTGAATGTAAAATTAAAATTAAAATTTGATTTGATTTTTTTATTTGAAAAGGATTGATTTGGAACGACGTAATGCTGAATCTAAACGACGTCGACAATTGGAAGAAGAAGAAGAACAAAAGAAAAAAGGCAATAATCATCGACGAAGAGATATATTCAAAGGAATAGGAGATGATCGTGAGTATTTCAAAGATTTATCAGTAGGAGTTTTTTTCGAAAGAAATTTAATTGAGTACTCAATTTAAGAACATATATTGTTATTTTTTTGAATTTGAATAGCTTCCTATTGAATCCTAACAAATTCTTTGCAAGTGATTGAAAACAGAACTAGATATAAATCATAATCCCTATTATCAAGAAATAAGAATATGATATATTATTTTGTTTTCTAGCTGATGCATTACGTACTCGTCATCAAGAACTTCGTACTCGTCGTCTTGATTTAGAAAAAGTTCGTGAAGAAGTTATAAAACATTTAAAAAATATTCATAATCGAATAACATTACGACGAAAAGAAGGTATTTTCTGAAATTCTTAGTTAATATTTCATTCGAATGTTTATATTTTAGCACGTGATATGTGGAAGAAAAAATATTTTAATGAAAAGAAAAAACATCCACAATTAGATGAACGTATTTCGACATTAAAAACTGAATTAGACCAAATACATAAAAAAACTTCGCAAACAATGGAAGCTGAAGCAAAATATGCAGCACAAATGGGTTATATAAAAGAAGCTGAAGCTGGAGTATAATATTACATATGATTTATTTTCTTATTGATTTATTTTTTTAGAGTTCTATTGCACAAATAACACGTATTAATCATGAAAATCAAGATATTCGTCATCAACTTGAACAAGCAAAATTACGTTTAACAACTGATGTTAAAGTAAATACTATTAAATAGTATTTTGATTTTTTTTTTATTTATTTATTTTATTTTAGCTACGAAATCAAGCTGAAAACGAATGTCGATTATTAAAACATGAATTAAATCAAGCTAAAATGAACTTAAATGACATAAAATCTCGTGCTGGACCTTAATTTTTTCTTTTTTTTTTACTGCAATATACAATGGCGGGAAAAAACGGGGATGCATATATATATATATTGAATATAATAACTAAACTAAGAACAAACAAACAAAAGAATTTCAAAGATTAATAAAGTTTAATCATCTTTATCATCATCATCATGTTTACCATTTGATTTCTTTTTATCTTTCTTTTTCTTATCATCTTTTTTAGCTTTACGATCAGCTGTACGATAGGATTCTTTTGATGCTGGTGTTGAACTATGATCTTTGTGTATTTCAGCAATAATACGTTCTTCAGTTTGATGTAAATGTTGTTTGAGTAAATCAAGAATATTATGAAGATCAACTGAAACTGTTGCATCATGTTCATGATGATCGTCATGTTTATGATCAAAATCTTTATTATTATCAGCATCTTCTATCAAAAAGAAAAATCAATAGAATTTTTATAAACAAAAAGAAATAATAATTCATTTACCTTTACTACCATCATGAGCATCGGCTGCAGCAGCAGCTGTTGCTATAAGAATAACATATATCGTTTTTTTAATTATATTTTGTTATTTTAAAAACAAACTTACTTGTCGTAGTATCAACAGTAGTTGTTACAGTCGTCTCAACGACTTTTACTGCAGGAACTACAACAGCAACTGGTGCTTGCGTATAACTTACTATTAAATGTAAACATTAATTTGGATTTATGATTTATATTTTGAAGATTGAAACTAACCTGCAATACATATTGCTAGAACAATAAAGATTTGTAGATGCATTGTAACTCAGATATTAGTGACTCTTAGTGAATATTAATACGGAGAAAATGTTCAGATGTGAACGCGCCAGATATATATATATATATACGATGTACAAGGGAGAGAGAGAGAGAGAAATAAGAGCAGACAAAAAAGGAGCATCAATCATAATTCTTCTCACACATAGAAAATAACTCATTGACCGGACTATAGAAAAAGAAACCGCAGCATCATTTATCTATCTATCACTTTATAGTAGAAAGTAAAAATAAAGGCCAAAAGGGCAACATCAGACAATGCACAGCTGTCATTCACATCTATACATATTGATTAGATATACAAATGAATAGACGCATCCTCACCACCATACTTGTCGATGCCCTATGTCTATACCATATTATTATATTCTCAAAGTATAATTCTTTGCTCACTATAGCATGATAGTACGTAATAAGATTCATAAGTCGATCATGAGAGAAATGATATATTCTTCGGTCACAGAAATACAGTCTGTTTATCTATCATTCAAAGAGATATAAATGAGAAGAAGCCAAACTACCACAATAATGAACAGATGTTTAGTCTGAAAATGAAAGTAAGATGTTAACAAAAACAATGTATAATATAAGATCGATTGCATTCATATTATTTCATAAATATAAAAAAAAGAAGATTTATAAAATTAAATTCTCGTTAATAACCGAAGTTATTTTATTTTTTATATTCATTTTTTGTATATTCTTATTACATGAATTTCTAAAAAAATAACCATAAATCAATTTACTGGTTGACAAATGTCAGACCCGTACATGAAGGGAGAAGGCAGTAGTTTTCTTTGCGAAAAGGCAATGTTTTACATTCTATCAATCAAATTATCTGACAACCGCCTAAAGATAACATACGAAGAAGTTTTCAACTAACATCGTCAGAAAAAAATCTGCTATTATACAAATACAATAAGTTTATTAGATTCAATGCAGATTTTTCTATAATTTGTTGTTTTTCTTTCGGAAATCATTTATTAACCTTATTATCTATGAATCCTATTTGATTTTTCAATTGCAAATTGTTCGACATACTTCAAATAAAATATATCTAAATCATTAATTATATTTCTTTTAAATAAAAATTCTTATTTGTATGCGAACTAATCATAGGAAAATAAAATCCTATTATTATGTAAATCTAAATCTAACTAATACGATATAAGTATTTACTTTTCAAGCACGCATCTATCTACTTTAAAATTCAATATTAATAAGTTTTATCTTGTATACTCTAAAATAATTACAATATAACCGTGATAAAGTATATGATTATTATAAATAGAAAATCATGCTTAAAATATTTATCTCGTCATATGATAGCATTTTTTTTAAAAACTATATCTATAATTAATTGTATCGTATATTTAACATTATTGTTAAAATAGTAGTACATGCTGGTTATTTTTTTTTTCATAGAAATTATTGATTAATACAAGCATGTAAATTACAGAATACTCAAAATGAGTATTAAAAGACAGAAAAAAGAACATCATAATTTTATGATTAAGTTAGTATTTAAAGACAAAATATAAAAATTATGTTGAATTATAATTATTTATAATATTCCTTCTGTTTTAATACACCGGATATGATGGTATTCGATGAGTAGGAATGTTATTATTATGATGATGATGACGAGCTGATGTTGGTTGATAAAATTGATGATGCATACGATCAAGTAATGCTATTGGTTGCTGATTAATAAATTCAAAACGTGATCGTCTTGGTTGTTGTTGTTGTTGTTGTTGTATACGACCCACAAAATCACTTGTTGATCTTGTTGATGTTAATAAAACTGAAAGAGGTGAACAAAGATTTTCTACAAAACGCGATGAAATATCTTCATAATGTTTTGTTGAAATTGGTAAATTTTGTTGCAATGAAATATCACGTCGACGTATACGTCTTGCAGGTAATGCTAAAGGCTGATTGTCATAAATACTTTTTATGCGTTGTTGACGATGATCAGTACTACATGAACGTTTTGAAATAATTGCTTTTTTCTCATTAATTATTTCTGTTCGTTCATCGGATGATGAACTTGACTGAATTGTTGATGATATTATTTGTTGTTTACGAATACGACGACAACGACGCTTACGATTCGTATTTGTTAATGATACATTTGTAGAGTTATCATCATCATCATCACTTGAATGAGATATTATTGGTGGTACATTTCCTGTTGTTGTTGTTGTTGTACAAGATGATGATAGTAATGGATAAGTACGTGATGATGTTACTAATGGATTCGAGGATAATTTTGATGAAACATGTATTGAAACAACTTGTCGTTTTTCTGGACTCATTACTTCAATACTTGTTTTAAGTGGAGTTTTTCCATTTGAAGATGATAAACTTGATGAATGTAAGTTTTCATAATCATCATCAGTCGAATCAATTTTTGTTTGTTTCATTATTGGAGGAGGAGGTTGAACAATTATTTCATTATATGTTTTATTTGCATATGTTGTTGATAATGAATCAGCTAAATATTGTTCACATTCGAGTGTTAAGGCATGAAATAAATCATCTAATGTCGAAGAATTTAGAAGCGGTTGTGTCGTCTGTTGTTTTTGTATGTCAGACTGTTGAATACGATGACGTTGACGATGTTGTTTCACTAATGACGAGTCACGACGTGGTGGTAATGGTAATGTTGATGTTGATGCTGTGATTGAAGGTAATTTTGGTGAAGAATGGTAATCATGATCAGCAAATGTCATTAATGAAGATGTTTTATTTACTGATTCTTGACTAATTCCTATCGTTGATGATGGTTCATTTTGAAGTATATCAGATAAGAGAAGATTAAGACGATTTAATGGATTCATTTAAATATTTAATGTACTCTAAAATGACAGATCATTTATCTTTTTTGTATAATAATACACATCTAGACACAATGTTAATTGAACGTTATGTATCAATATTTTTAAAATTTATTTCATAATATCTCGTCTACGTTTCCTTTTATTAATCAAACTAGTTTTTTTGTTGTTGATAAATTTAATAATAAGTGACAACAAAATATTCTTTCTTCTAACTAATTATCTACTTATCGGTTTGTACTAACGAGTCGTCAATCCATTATTTCCCTTTGACATAAAAATATGAAAATAAACTGTAACTTACGCCGAAGAATTATGATGTTATTCTTGTTTTAACTAGTTATTTATAGAATGATAAAAATACTATATGCTGCTCACAATGTGAAAAAATATTCTAGTCATTCGTTCTATTTAAAATTAGAAATAACACAACAATCAGAAGAATATTAGATAGGCATGGTAAAGAAGAAGAAAAAGAAAAAAAAAGAGAGAGAGAATAAAGAAACATTGCCTGCCATCTCTTTTTCTTTTCTATAAATATAAAGACGAAGGAGAAAAAAAAGAACAAGGCTATCCATTCTTGTTTAGCTGATAGAATAATCAAGAATGATGACTTATATTTTCTTTTTTTTCCTTCTTCGATCTACAACCTATAGAACACGAACTCTAGTAACTGACACATAAATATAATAAAAAAAGAAGGGACGACACAGACGAGAGATGAATGATTATCGTTATTTATGTCTGTCAACTAATTCTCTCCTACAATTTCATGACGACATCAAAGATTAAAAATGACCATTAACTACTCTTGAGACATCCTAGGGGCTTCCGACAACTCATAAACTTTACATAATAAAAAAGAAATTGAAGTTAAAAAGAAGAAAAAAAGAAGAGAATGGCATCATTGATATATTCATTTCTCTTTATAAATGTACACATATGGTAGACGTGAAATGTAAATTCAAGCCACAATAAGATATAAACCCATCATAACTCTTTTATTCATTCGTTGTTCTAATTTCCCAGTAGACTTACATTGGCATCGTCAATATTCATTGTAACATAGTAACATGCTTCACACAATGCGTGATTGTACTATTACTGCATGCTCATTCATTCATTCTTTTTCTCACATTCTACTCAATGTCAATAGGGCTTTTTAGCACACAATGAGTCGTTCTTTACTGATGATGAGGGGATAAAAATCGATAGAACACTCGCTCATATGCACAGTATGAAGACTAGAGTGGTGGTACCTCTCTCTATAATTATAGATCAGTACTCGACATGTATACATATATACATGTGAAGTGGACCAAAAGTAACATAACACAGAATTTTTTTCATTTCTTCTTTGTACATGATCAATAAGATATATTATTTATAGTACATATACTATATAGTATTAGTAAGAATGTAGTAATTTATATTTGTATGTAATTATAATAAAAATGTGATATTTTATTTTTTTGTTTACTCATCACGTTCAATGAAGGAAATCTGATCTAATTAATTTTAATTTCATTTGAACTAAATCAATCAAACTCATTTCACAGATCGTAATATGTAAACAAATTTATTAAAAACGAAATAAAGCTCGAGAAAATATCAGATTTCTCTTACATTCACATACAATTCTATGTTTTACTACATCTTTATTTAATATCATATCGTATAAATATTATATCAAATTGACTATATACAACAAGAAAATAAAAAAATATTCTGTATCCATCTTATATAAATACAACATATGTATTGTTTATCAGATATTATAACTTTTTCCAAGGTTAATCATTAGAATTTATATATGTATGTAAGAAAATTGTTTGAAATTATAAACAATATAATCTTGATTGTATATTCATATTTTTAAAAAATAAAATAAAATACACTTTCATCATATGCAAATTATACAACATCAAACTGTTCATAAAGTCTAACAATATCTCGTGTATTTATTCTGCATGATAAGAATATAGTAGAATAAATACTTCATAGATGAAAAGGATGATTCTCAATTTTCATCTGAAATATGAGATCAAAACTAATGTCTATGTGTGTTTTTTTACAGTTTCATGATTTTTATATTGAAGATGAATGAGGCTCAATATTATCTTGATTTGAATAGTATTGAAAACAATTTTATTGATAAATATATCCTCACAGATCGATACCATGATAAACTATTGAATTGACAGAAATATTTACTAAAAGCAATAGTACAAATATAAATCAATATGATTAATATTTCTATCCCAGACTTGATCGAAATATAACATATGAATAGTTTTCGTACCTTGAGAAATACAAACATCAATCAAATAATAATATTTATTTTCTTTTTCATTCATCATATTTAATGATTTCCACATAAATACGTTTTTTTCTCTTATACAAAATCAATATTTTAATAGAATATCGTTTTGTTGTTGTTGTTTAATATGAAAATAAATAGTTGTTAAATATCGATATTTATATCTTATAGTATATTTTACAACTAAACTACGAATATCAATGATAAACATATGACATTCGTTTTGATAATATAAATCCTTTTAATCTACAAAATAAAAAAATATTGACTCGAAATATTTTCTTTTTACTTAATATCTTCGCTGATCTTTTAATTGTTCGTTTTAAATAATTATTTACTACTCAGATTTCATAAATAATAACAAATCTTTTTTGAAATCTTAACAAGTTAAACTTAAATTTACGATACAAAAAATTAATTCTAACACATACGTATGTAATTGATCATTTATTAATACCTGTAACTCATAAATTAACTAAAGTAAATAAGAATTAAGCTAAAAAAACCGTACTTAGAATAACATCTGAAAAATATTTTTGATGATTATCACATTCGTGCCACTGTCAATCATATCGTCTAGTAGAAAGAAAATATTCTTCTTCTTCTCTATCTGTTGATTTGTCTTCTAATTATAAACAGAAAAAAAAAGAAGTCAACTATCGATAAAATGTCACAATTACCCATCAAACAAGTCCAAAAAAACGAAGAAGAAGAAGACAAGAGTCTTTAATCTATTATTCTATAGATTTGTATATTTTTTTTAATAAACACTGGACATAATTCGGAATTGTCTTTTTTAATATTTGACGTTTACATTTAACAAATAAAGTCTTCTTTTATTTCTCTTTTTTTCTGTCTGTTCGTTCTGTGCGACAACATAAAAAACCAACCGCTACCGTCGTCATCGATTGATTTTGCTTTGCAGCGGTATATGCATACATCTACATACACACACGTCGAATACAATAGAATCGAAAGAAAAACGACGACGAAAGTCATCATCAACATTTTGACACCATCATTCACCAAACACTCATCAGTGATTCTTGACAAGGCAATACAACATTTAATATACACGGGTAAGTGTGTATATGTATATATATATATTATGTATATTATCATTATCATCATAAATTAATATACTTATAGTTTTCATTTATCATATATTAAAAAATTCATTTTTATTGAAGAAAGTTAAACAAATATATATGTGATTATTGTTCTTACGATATGTTTTTGTCATGGTCACTGTTCTTTTATTATTCTGTTTGTTGGACTTTTACATTCAGATAATCAACGGTAAGGATTAATTATCAAATATTAAATATAAACAGATGATAAAGAAATAATATTGATTATTTAGTCTCGTATTTCACAGATAATTATTTTTAATTAGTAATAAATTATTTTTCATATAGAATTTTAAAGAAAAAGACAACTAAGAATTTCCTTCGTTACTCTTTAAATATTCTGTTATTTTACTTGTAAATCACAAATAATAACAACAACAACTATTAAACACAATATGAAATTCAATTCGTCAATGTTCTGTAAATAAAATCATTTGATGTGACATTGTATACTTGAAAAACGAGAAAGAAAACTAATTACTAGTAGAACTATTAAGATAAGTGTTTGAAGAAAAAAAAAATGAAAGAAATGTAATAAGAAGAGACATATCAAGGATGACATGAATATGGAATCAATAACAGCATAGAGAGGGACAGAGAGAGAGAGAGAGCGAAAAAAAAGTTTCTATTTGTGAACCATCTATTTTAATTATTAATCTTATAGCTTCCTGTAGTGTTCCACTTGGTTTAAGTACAGGTGAAATAAAAGATTGGCAAATAACAGCAAGTAGTATTGATGAACAACGTAAAGAACAATGTCAAGCAAGTTTTATTCGTCTTTATTCTAATGATAATGATCATGCTTGGTGTCCAAGAATAAATCAACCACATCAATGGATTCAAATTGATCTTGGCACACCAACAAAAGTAATCATCTCATAAAATAAATTTTCTTTCTTTTTTTTTCTTTTTCGCTTTTTTCCTATTTAATTTATTCATGTAAATAGTTACATGGCTTCATAACACAAGGACGACCTGGTTCAGGAGAATGGATTACTGCTCTTCTTATATCATATAGTCTTGATTATTATCAATGGAATTATATAACTGATAGTGATGGAAATCAAAATATTTTTACAGGAAATCATGATGCCGTTTCAATACGTTATCAATATTTTCAAATGCCATTTAATACAAGATTTATTCGTTTTCATATTGTTTCATGGCATTTTCGTCCTAGTCTTCGTCTGGAACTTATCGGATGTCAAGGTAAATAAAAATTTATTGTTATTATTTAAATTGAATTTTTGTTTTTTTCTTAAGAATGTAATAAACCATTAGTTTACCTTCCATATACACGTTTCTCAGCATCATCATCTATTCCAACACGATATCGTGCTACATGTCAACCACGTGATGCTTTTCTATTAAGCAATAAAGGATGGTGTGCACGATACAAACAAGGTTTTAAAATTTTTATATTTAAAATGTTTTTTTAAAAGAATTTTTTGTTCCGTTGATTAATTATAGTGAAAGATAATTGGTTACAAATTGATATTGGTCATCCAACACGTATTACAGCATTGATAACAAAAGGACGTGGTGATCAAGGT